TGGGCAGTTGGGGAAGGGTTTGCTTTCGGGAACGCTTTGCTATCACTTTCTGCGCCCGACCATGAGGATGCAAGCCCTGTTCAATCACCCGATACGACTCGGCGTTGGCCTCAAATGTTGCCGCACTGAGTTTTACCGTTATACATAAGTTATGCAGTTTGTTAGTCACTGAAGTCCTGCGAGGTTGACGCACTGGCGGCCAATGAGTGCCGGAAATTCATGCCGAGGAGAGGCCCTACAGGCCTGGCAGCGCAGCGCACGGAGTCATACGGACCGGAGCCGATGTTTTGCAGCCGCTGTTTTTTTCGCCACCTTCTGCCGGCTCCAGGTTGTTCTGGACGGGCTCGAATTTGCCTTGCGCCTGATGGGGGCAGATGCCCCACACGCTGCCCGACTTGCCAGAGTCGAGCCGCGGACTTAGGGACTCTTGGGTAGGCTGCACCAGCTTAGGCGCCTATGGGCCTATGGACTCCTATGGGCTCCTAAGGGCTCCGAAGGCTGAAGCCAAGATGTAAGGCGATGTTGGACTTCGACAAACCCAACATCACTCCTCATCCTGCTAGTGTGTTACTGTCATAGCTTTACCCCGCCCCAAGGCGTCCCAAGTTCCACAAAGTTCCACAGGTACAGAGTGCGAAGAAGGGTGTTTGAAGGGGCTGAGGGACTGCGCGGCAACCCAGGCCCCGCGTCGCCTTAGCGCGGCGGCTGTGCAGCCTGGAGCTGGGAGAGTGTGGATGTTAACTGTTAATTATCTGTTTTTTTCAGCATCATGTATTGCAGATTGGCTGCGTTGTACTCAAAAGCACTATCACGTGCTTCTTGTACGGTTCTTGCAAGAGTCATGGGCTTTGGCAAACCCAAGCCTTGCAGAGTCTTCGGGCATCTTGGGAATGCGGAATGCGACCTATGATCCTCAAGCTTGCAGAGCCTCTTAGGCAGCGACGCTTTGATTTCGCCGCGGCTGGTGCAGGAGGGCGAAATGGGTGAAGTCGATTCAAATTGAGTCTGCTGTTGTTGTGGTTTGCGCTTTGCCGGATCGATGGACGTTGCGAGTTGTGAACGGCGGCAGGAGCTGGCAATTCCTTCCTGTTCCCGGCATGCCGCCGACATTTGTCAGTTGGAGGCAGTGCTTGACCGTGCTGTGCGCACAATCTTGCCAGAAGAGCTACGGAGATCTGCCCCATCCGGCTGCAACACCTGCAGGGCGACTTGGAAGACCCGAGACGCTCGCCAGCCATGGATCTGAAGACGTCCATTAACAGCTTAGAAGAGTCACTGAAGGTGCGGCATGATTTGCTGGATCCATTTCTGCAACACCCGGCCATGTTCTGCAAGTCGGTTGCCTTGACTTGCGAACGTTGTGACCCCAACCGAAGTGCAGGATTGCAGCCGTGATGTCAAGACGACCGCGGCGTCTGCATTCCCGTCGCTCTCCAAGGACATCTTGCACTTGCAAGCTGGTGTACCCTTTCAACGACCAAAGCTAGCAAGAAGACTCAGAAACATAGAGCCACAATGGGCGTCATTCCCATGATATTTGGCGTGTGAAGCCGACGGCAGCCCGGTGACTCCAATGAGTTCTTGTGGAAGCGACCGCAGCTTATCGCAGCGCCGGGTCCAGGAGGACCTACTTTGAAGTTATGATTGAAACACGCTTTTGCTGTATTACCATGTTAAGTTATTAACCGTTCTTAACCAATGCCTTATGCCATATGCCATGTCAAATTGCTGCAGAACTGCTGAAGCGAAGATGCAATGCCCATGTACGTTTCCTTGTTGTTTCTGCTTTGTGGGTTCATGCGCTCATCAGCCCAGTGCTCGCTACGCGGCAAGCGTGCAGAGAAAGGTGGCATCACCTTTGGCTGCCAAAGGTGACAGCGCCCTGCGAATGACAACGAACACAAATCTGTTGGCAACTTGAGAACAGAGACAGTGTTAAGTTCTGATGGTTAGCTCCTACGGCTTTGCGGATGAAGCAATGCGAAGTATAAAATGACTGCACCAAGAGTCCAACACAGGAAATTAACAGCAATGCAAACACAGCGCTCCGCACGAAAACGCGGGAGAGCGAACAATTATGGGAGACCGCACCAAAGAGACGCACGCTACATGAACCAAAGCACAAAAATGCATAGCCAACACTCACAGCAAACAGAGAACACGAAATAAATGCAACGCCAAAGCACCAGAAAATGCATACTTGAAAAACATGCAAACAGCAAACACCAAAACTTGCAAACTCAAACATGCCGGACAGCGTAGGCAATTGAACTTGGCAAGCCGCAGAGGTTCTCATAACTTCGGCAGAGAACAGCAGCACTCATGAACAGCTGCCTGCAGTGATGAGGAGTTGCCGTGCTTGATGAGTCACGGACCTGTCATCACCAAGCCAGCAGACTCGGAGACAGGGCCTCAGCAGAGCAGCACAAACCTTGGTCCCCTCTTAGTTGTCTTAAACATCTCATGCCCATGATCGTGCAGCTAAGGTTCCATTTGTTCGGACCCGGATTCACTGCAGATGCCTTTCATGTGGCAGAGGAGATGGCTGGGCAACCGTTGCCGGTCACTCTCCCAGCTGTTAGACAACGTGCTGCGAACCCTGTAGACCAGCAGATGGAATTCATTCGTCCCGAGGCTGATCTGCTTTCTCCCCCAGACTTGGCGGAGGTTGGCCCAAATGATGTGCAGAGCCCCGCCGACCTGGTACAACTGAGCGAGACTCAGCTTGGCATCCTGTGATGAGCAGCTGTTGGCGGTTGCTGCTAGAAAAGTGCTACCAGTAGCGGGTTTCTTCACATGGTAACGGCTCTACACCAAACCTCCCTGTCTCTGGATAGCAAAGCTGTATGTTCACATTGCAAAAGCCGGGGCCAGACAGCGAGCCTCAATGTGGCTTTCGCAGTCAGGACATCGAGTCACGACCTGCCAACAAAAAGAGACGAGAGGAGCTCCTCAAGGTAGCCTTGGCCTGTGAGGCAGAGAGAAAACGGCAGACCCACCAGAAGAGGCTCGAAGCTGAAACAGCTGGCTCTGCGGGGCACGCTGAGTAGCCAGGACATAGTTAAAGAGCCAGGAGAAATGGCTACGGAAGGAAGGTCGCGGTCGGACTGCCAACGACCTCCTGACCAAGTCACATGGGGCTCGTGGAAAACGTCAAGCAAAGCAGGGCAGACCAGCGCAGACAAAAGGCGCCTTCTGAACGAAAACGCCGGCTTTCGGCTTATTTTCTCTGCCCTATGCCGCCCATCCCAATCTTGTGCTTTGCTGTTCCTGCCCTGTCCGAGTGGGAGCCCCGACCAGCGTTTTTTGAAGTACACCCACCCACCAGACCCAGACCACAGACCCACCCCCCCAGACCTACCAACTGCTTCTGCCCGTCCTCCGACAGGAAGTGCGCCTGAAAGATGTTGGACAGGTTGATCCGATCAGGCCGTCAAGATATTGTTCCCTGGGCGCATCCTTCTGGCTTTTAGTTTCCTACTGGTCTGCGGTCTGCTTCGATGATGCAAGTGATGCCCACAGTTTTGCATAGTCTTGCGTTATCTCTTCCTTTTCCTCGTCTGCCTGTCCTGAAGCATACGTGTTACTTTCGTCTGCCCCTGATTGTGAGCACTTTTGCACTTGCAAGGAGCTATTCGTATAGTGAGTTTTTTTTTGTTTTTTTTTGTTTTTTTTTCTCTCTCTCTCTCTTCCATGCCAAAGAGTCGTGAAAGTTAGGGCTCACACAGATGGCACACCGCCTGATCACTCGGTGAGTCTGGTGTCAGCATCATGCCTGCCACAGCATCGGCAAGCCGAAGTCTCCCTCACAAATCACTGCCATCCGCAAGGGGGATGGCGGCTGTAACAGGATTGTACTGTGGCCCGGTAAGTCGCAGCTCACAACCCGATGTCATGTGTCACGTGCTAGCGCATCACAAGCTCAGGCTGGGGAGAGCCTGCGCTTCTTGTCAGAAGCTGCCACGCTGCCAAGCTTCTACCAGAGTGATCCTGCTCGTTTGCCTGGCTCGCCCATTTTTCCCATCTGCCCCGACACCCGCACCAGTTGTGCTCGTGCTAAGGTTGAACCAGCAGCGCCTAATCACAAGCCTGGGGCCCAGAGGAGTTTCCGCAAACTCCGAGAACTGCTTATGTGGCCTTCTCGCAGTGGTTATTGCAATTATCATACTCATTATTAATTATGGTTATACTCATTATTAATTATGGTTATTCTCAGTATTAATCATGGTCCACTCTTGCCTCGTTGGAGATAAGGCGCCCACCATTTATGTTTTTCCCTGGCTGCCCGAGTGCTGCTCTCGCTGCCGCTGGATCGTTCATGGCCCGCCATGCAGTCGACCCCTGACAACCCTTCCTTCGTAAAAGCCCAGGCCAATATGGGCATTTCCCGAAATAGGGGTACCCCTTTTCTACCCCCAAATAGATAGAATATCCTTAAAGGGAACCCCCAAAAGGGCACCCCTTATGAGCGGAAAGAGGTACACTCGCCCAGACTTTCAGTGGACGCTGGAGATGCAAAATTTCATCCTCGACCGCAATGGCCTTGGAAGGGTAAGCTGCAAGCAGAAGCAACATTGGTCACGATTTGTTATGGTCAGTGGGCATCGGTAAGCTTAGAGCTTAAATGGTAAGCTTAGAGCTTAAACTCAGTCCAGACCCATGTTTTGCCTTTTAAGTTTGCCCAAGGCCTGCACTTGCTGATCCGGCAGCTGGCGATGTCGGCTCTCGCTCTGGGACCTGCTGGTACGAGTCCTACACGGGTGGGGGTGTGAACTGTTCATTTAGTTTATGTTTGTTTTTTTGGATGGGAATTCCACGAACGAAAGTTGCTTCCAAGGGAAAGCCTAAGTCAAAATAAGCCCCCCCATGTCACATCTGGTTGGCAGATGGTGACGTAGTAAGTACAGCAATGACGTGTGGGCAACCTAGTGGCAGGATGTGGCTTGAAGATGCGAGATCCGCAGTCCTCAGGAGATGCTGGTCCCCGGGCTGTTGCAGCTATGGCTGCAGCTGTTGTGTTTGATGCTGTCGCGCGACAAGCTACGGACAACGTGACGTCCGTGCTCTCGCAGGCCCCAGGGGGGGATGGTAGGGAGGAATCTAGGCAGTCATGATGATGACTGCATCGGTTGGGTGAGGCCTTGGGCCAAGGACTCTGTCTAGGGCAAGGGTCCTTCGTGAGCGAGTCCTCTGAGCAGGCTGGTGGCATGCACTTGCTTCGTCATGCTGTCATACCCTTGTCATACCCCTGTCATGTTCGCCCTGAGAGGCAATCACCTGGCCCCGCGCCGCAAAGGCCCGAAGCGAGATTCTGGAATATTTCGAGGCCTCGAGCTGGACACGCAATCATCGGCATAGCCTGGCAGAGAAGTGGTCGCAGGCGGCGTCCGTTGCTGGTCATCAGCCTGTGTTCCAGGGAGTAGAGGCGCGACGTCTCAAGGGGATGCAAACCTAGAAAGGGCTCCACCAGTCTCCTCCACTCTCTTGGCATTTTAGCTTGGCAGGTTGGGCAGGCTGAGCTGCGCCTGCTCAATGGCTGCTCCTTGCTGCTAGGTTTGGCCATCCGAAGCTTGCTACTTCTAGGGAGCTGCGTCAAGCCCAACGTATAGGCTTGGGTCCGGTGCGCTCGGCTGCAGTGCAGCTTCTCTCCGGGGAGGAAAGCAGCAAGCTGTGAAGCAAGTTAACAGTGGCGTGAGGGACCATGAATGCTTGGAAGGACTCATGCCTGCTGGGGCAGCTGCAAGGGACCCATCCACCGGTGTGGCAACGAGTCATCCTGACCTTGGCCTTGGAGCAGTGAGGCCGCAGCTCGGGATGATGCGTGACGTGGGCTTCCTTGCGCAGTCCCGGAACTCGGAATTGCCGTGCCTGCAGAAGCCCCGCTGCAGGGATTTTGAAGCTATGTTTGGGTACGCTCTTCGAGGCTTCTCTCCCGGAGCGGTGCCTTACCGTGGATTCTGTGGGGGCCTCTTCATGGCCAATGGCACTACAGGACCTCTGATCATGGCACCTTGCCTGTAGCGATGGGGCCAGGCCGAAAAGTGGCCAGTACAATGTGCTTGGGAACCTGTCCGGCTCTCAAGTGCGTTTCTTTCTCAGGGGATCTCCAGCGAGGTGAGCTGCATTTCTGTTTGTTGGTGTCTTCAGGACGTGGCGTAGCCAGGAGGGGAGCACTTCTCTGACTGCCTCGATCTCGGGCTGATGACGTGTCCGAGCTCGTAGCCATTGGCATGCTGGATTGTGAGCACTACAGGTGCGGGGTCTGGCACAGGGCCAGGCAACTGCCACGCCCCCAGATGGCGTCTTCACTGTTGCACCATCAGCTCGGCAAGGGTATTCGCATGTCGCAGATCGAATGCGCACGTATGCACCATATGCACCCGACTCAACAAGCTGCTGTGACAGATATACTCTGCTCCTCAGGCCCTGGAATCTTTACTGCCAGCAGTCGTTGCCAATTCTAAGGCCAGACACAGCAGCACTTAAGTCAATACTGGCCAGTCGATGTCAATCTTGGATCCATCCTTGCAAGTTCCAGGAAAAGCAAACGGGCGTACTGGCCAGAATGAAGAAGGGCCTGCTCGGTCTGACGGGTGCAGAACGGCCAGCAGCTTGGTGCACTGCTGTCAACGAAGTCAGAGAAGGGACACCTGCTCGACTCAAGCACTGGTCGGCATGTTGAACAAGGCGAGGCGCAGCGGCATCACAGGCAAACGTCTCGCATTTCGGTCCTGTGCACTGCACGTATCCGTGTGTTTGGATGCCGAAGACACTAGCCAGGCAGATCCTGGCGCGCTGGTTGGCGAGAAGCTGCGTAGCGAGGAGGACGCTTTGCCGCTGGGTGCTGTATTTCTATGGGTACTGTATTTCTATGAGAGTCTGCCAAGACGACTAACAGCCATTATGCAAGTGTTGCGAGGATGTCCTGTTCCTTCCATCTGCGAAGCTGAGAGCCTTTGATGGTCTGTCACCTTCAGCCAGAAGCCCAAAATGGAGTTGTGTTGCTGGACCAGCAGAACAATGCAGCAAGCGAAGCCATCAAGAAACCATCATATGTGTGTGCAGTACTAGTGCTGCAAAGGGCTCGTTCAGAAAGTCGGCGTTGCGTGCCGCATCGTATCCAAGGAAGCAGAGGTCATATTGACCATGCTGCCACCGAGCTCAGCTTTCTACACGCCCTTTAAACAGCTGGCCAGTATACTCGCTTACGCAACAAAGCAGTGATTTCCATGACTGGAGGCTTGCCCCGTACCTGCGGATACCGTTGCTCCTGGGGTACTTGGGGACATCTGAGCGGGTCGGCGCACTGGCCGATGAGCGTCTTCAGGCAAGGGTAAGGGGATGGCATGACACCAAGCAGGGTTCCTCCCCTTCCTCCCCTTACTATACCGGTCTCTTGGTCCACCCCGCCAGGGAGTCCTGGAAGCGGCCGTCTTCGAGCCAGGCCCATGGCGGTCCTCCACGCAGCCTCCCACGATCCCCGAGGCAAGGGGGGTCTTCAGCTCCGTTGAATGATCTCATCCTTCCTGAATGCTCAGATCAATGCTTAGCTGCAAGAATTTCAGTTGAACTTCCGTGTTCCAGGTTGTTAGGCGAAGATGGGAACAGGGTTCAGTTCAGTTATGCAGTCAGACTTGCGGAGCAGTGTCATCTGCGTTCGCCATCTCAGGCAATTCCCGCACGGCGCCCATCTTCCCGCTTCCATGCTTGGGCCCTCTTTAGGACCCGTGTGGCTTGATGTCCGCCAATGAGGCTCCAACTCGCACTCATCTTGCAACCCCATGTGGTCTCCTCATCAATGAGCCCTGACCTCAGCTAACAGCAGGGCTGCACATGGACCCGGATCACCCGAATCCTTGCCTTCTTTGTCTCAGGTTGTGCAATGCGCCCCGGCCTACACTGTGCCACCCTGAGACATGACCCACTTTGAACATCGGCCATGACAGGGATCAGCCAGAAAGATGGCAGACCAAGGTGTGCCGTTGAAGGGTCCTGCATATGCCCTATATTATATATATATATATATGTATATAGGTCTATGGTGGACGAACGTGAGCAAATTGAATTGTGTGGTCCTTGCTGAGGGCCGGTGCCACTGCATTGCTCCGGAGCGCCCTGGAGCGCGACACGGGCAGGGTTTCCCTGGCTCGTCTTCCTTGGGGGAAGCAAGCTTCAGTGGATTTCTGTAATGTGCTGTAGGAAGTCATGCTATTGATGGTGAATTTATTTGCAGCTTTCGTAAGAGCATGGCACCCCTCTCATGAACCCCATTCATGTAAGGGCCAAGGTCCTCAAGTGTGGGGCTGAGAGTCAGGCATTTTCTCACCTGTCGCAGTCACAATCTCTGGTGAAGCTCTTTTCCTGACTTGACAAAAATTCAAAGGCAGGGGTCCTGCGGCTACGGGAATAAGATGCCTGTGCCAAGGGACATAGTGCGATACATTTCCCAGAATGATGTGGAGAAACTCATTTAAGTACTGGTTTTCAGTCAATGATTACCTGAAGCAGACAAACAAGAGTTCCTATGTGACATTCTGGACAGACTTTGGTTGGATGCCCGCACGAACCCTTTGCACGAGCATGACACAAAGATCCCTGCGAATGCTAGCCATGACAGGCTGCGGCGTCTCCGATTGGGCTCATCCTTTTCGTGCACTACTTGGGAGCTTCATGCTCTTCCCAGATATAGATGGGCGTTGTGCAGCGACTGAGTCATGCGAGACCACGAAACATCGTGAGGCCGTGCGGATGGGTTGCCGAATCTATTCATTCGTGCCGACCCCAGTAGCAGCTCGCTGCTACACAACGCTGCGGCTGCTCGCTCCTTACATCAGCGCAGCAGCTTCAAAGATTTCAGGCGAAGACATTACTAGAGCGGCGGGCTTGGCAGACTCTGATGCAATCAATGGAATCTATGAGCCTTGTGTGCTGCGCCTACACACCTACACACCTACACATTGACACTTGCTATTTGTAGAATTTTGTAGACATCTGCAGTATGAGCAGCATTCTGGTGATCCGGGGCCCTCAGGTCAGATGGCGCAGGCTCACTGACAGTGGCGCTTGCCCTTGGCGCCGGGCGGCCATGTGTAGAGGTCGCCAATCCTCACAGTTAATTGCAGTCTGATCCAAAACGCTCACGACATGATGCTCTCTCTAACTCTCTCTCTCTCTCTACATATAGAAGAATGAATATGTATCAGAAACATCCTTGAGTTTATGGTGAGACCCTAATGAAACCACTTGATCTGTTCCGTGCAGAAAACATCCGCCTGAAGGGCACCGTGTGTCCGATCGTAAGATGTCCGGCTGCAGCCATTGATGGACGTCTTGCAGCCTTGTCATTGATATGAGGCTTGCTCTGCAAGTCGGGGTTGAGATGGGTTAAGCTTGTGATTCAAAAGCAGCCGACGGAGATAAGGAGAGCAACAGAAGATTGCTACGGCGATGCGATGATGAGAGGAAGAAGAAGCATGAGTGTGCAGGCTGCCGTCGATCCTCTGCGCAACCAGCTTTTGGCATCCAGGTCGGAGTGCAGGAAGGAAGGATAGATCTGTGTCTCTACACATACGTCCTCTCTCTTAATGTTCAGGAAGAACCTTCAACGATGGGCGACCGAAGCCGCAGACCACAGCAAGGCAAGGCAACAGTGCTTTTTGTCGGCCTTGTTTGCCGTACAGCTGTGCAGGATTGTACAGGTGCGATCAGGATCGCAGAGGCTTGGACATGCCTTGACATGCCGCGACGCTTGGAGGCTGCGCTTGCCTGTGCCGTTTGGTCTCACCTGGCCATGCTTCAGAGTTGAGCTCAGCCCAATCATGCCCATGCGCATCCACAGCGATGGCGAAGCCATGAAGCCCAGCCATGATTTTGTCTTGCTCCGTGAGTAAGGTCCTGTCTTGGCTGGGGTGAGGTCGCGGTAGAGAGCACGAGTTTACAGACTGCAGAGAGTTGTGCGGAGTGCAAGTCTGCAAGCGGCTGCTATCTGTTACGGCCCCCATGATTCCTGGGTTCAAGTTGCAGGCCGAAGCTCCTGTGGCACTGTTAGCCTCGCAGCTTCTGCCCAGCCGACGTTCCTTGATGCTTTGCAAGAAGACGATGTGGCAGAACCTAGCAGATCCCAGAACATTCCGGCTGCCAGGATGTCAATGCACGGTCTGGATGCAGTGTGGAGCTCTGCACGCAAATTGGAGTTTTGCTTCTTATACATGTTGAATGTGCATTGAAGGTTCTACTTGAAAGAAGTGAAGGTCGTGGCTCTTTCATCGACAGCGTGAAGCTCAGAGCGTCTTCAGACTCCTACCATGGCTTCTTCTTAGGCTCCAGGGGCACAGTTAGAGCGTCAGAGAGCTTCCCGTCTGCCAGAGCGCCTGCCAGGTGCGTCGCCCATGGCTGGCCCGGTCGGCAACCCGCCTTGCGCTGAGCGATACTGAACGTAGCATCCCAGCCAGTCTACTGCCAGGGCCTGTTGAAAACTGTAGCACTGTAGCATACTGTAGCTTAACCTGATAAGTCTGATAAGTTGTGTCAGGCCTGGTGCAGATCAGGACGCACATGCCACCAGCACGGCATGATACAGCATGGCAGAGCAATGTGCCACAGAAGGATCCAATGGGAGGAGGCTCTGCCTGCGAGATGTTCACGATCCACGCAGAGGAGCGGTTTGAGGGCTTTAGGCTTGAGTAGGCCCTAGTGCGGCTTGAATGAGAAGCCTGAGGCCCTAGGCTTGATAGGGCCTACCTATAGGATTGTAGGGCTTTTGCAGTGACCTTTTGGCTGAGCTCACGCGCCTTATGGGAAGTGCGACCTGTGCAAGGAGCGAGGCAATCTTGCCCGGTGGCTGCGCCAAAGAGGCGAAAAACCGAGTGTGTATGTGTGTGTGCCACAAACGGACACTGCTTAACGCTAGCGAAGCTTAAGGGAGCCAAGCCGCAGCAGCGCTCGAAGCCGCTGTGGCTGTGGCGTCGCTTTCCAGCAGCACTTCGGGTGTGCAGAGCTAAGTCCTTGCTCCATGCAGTAGCCCCATTCAAATATTATGTAGAACTTCTCAGTTGCTTTGCAATATTCAACCCAATTCCTTCACCGAAGACGGAACACAGCTGGTAAACGTTTTATCATGAATTTGCCTGTCGCCCAGGCGACTTCATCTTGGATAGAAGTCCGTCCAGGCCTCCTTCGTGTCTCAAACGCATGCATTGCGCTTCTTCGAGTAAGTATAGCGCGAACCCGGCAGGTGTCTTCATGCGCGCTGTTGAAGCTCCCTCTCAGGAGGGACACTGATGTGCCGTTGCTTCATCGCGCCATCCCTCTCGCTCTCAGACTTGGTAGTCCAGTGGTACCCTTTACCCTTTTTTTGGTTATGGGTTCCCTTATAAAGTAACCAACCCAAAAAAGGGTGCCCTTGTTAGAAAAGGGTTAGTGGGCTACCAAGCAGATGCAAGGACAATTTCAAGCTGAAGCCTGGCCAGAACGTCCGTGACCAAGCGCACAGCGTTCAACTGGCCATCCAAGTTCTTTGATCTTTCTGAGTGGCCTTTTCTGAGGTGGAAGAGTATTTGCAGAAATTGGCATCCTTACCAAAGCTGGCTTACGACACCAACTTGGGCACTGCACTTAAAGGCAGTCTTTTGCTCTTAAAGACAGTTTTGGCGCATTCCCCTTCCCTCTGCCGTGTGAAGCTCTCCCAGAATCGAGGAAGCTTTGCGATGCAGCAAGGAGAGCTGCAAGTCTTGCCAGGCAGGTGATGCTGTGTGATGCTGACACTTAGCGATGTTTCCAGATCCTGCACCGATCCAGAAAGATAAGAGACAAGCAATGCCGTGCCAGGGTGGGCGTGCAGCGCTCCAGAACTACAAGATGTTTTCGGGGAGTCAACCGAACTCATGGGGATTCTGGCCAGTCGCAGCCTCAGTCCTCTCGTGCCTGCAACGGTTCGCTCCCGAAGGTGTGATACGGTGTGCGGCACGCATGCACACACGCACACACGCACACGAACTATACTCTTGTACTTTTCTTCATTCGACTATCATTCTGCATTCCGCGCATGACCACTGGGCATGGTTCTTCAAAGGAAATCCTTGGTTTCCGGGCCAAAACGGAATTAGAGCTTCGAACGTTTCAGATCATGGGGCTGTAGCATTGAAGGCTTCAGTTCTTAAAGCTTTAAGGTTTCAGAGCTTTGGGCGGCAGCTTTGAAAATTGGAGGCTGTACGCTTCAGATCTTAGAATGCCGGGAGGGGGGAGGCGCGGGAGGGTTTTTTCAAGGGTGTAGTATAGGGGTTTCACAATTCCGAATCACATAGCCATGGGGTTTCGGCCACATGTTCGCTTTATGGCGAACCACATGACAAATCGGAACTCCGCCTTGCTGCGCACACATGCTGCCCGGGCTAGGGCTAGGCAACCCCACGAGCAGCGTAATCGTGGAAGATATGGGAACAAAATGGACGACACATGCCTGCTTTTTAGAGTGCAGTATGGGGCCAGGCCTTGTGCAGAGAACGGAGCATCGGGAATGCCTCAACCTCGCCGGCCAACGCCGAATCCTCGGACAGTCAGCCAGATTTTTTTTTTGGAGATGGTGCTTTGTCATACTAGTAGAGGACTCTTACCTGACCCTGCAATCCGCTCTAGCCGGCGATGATGGCTGTCAGTCTAGATGTACGTTAGCTATGTTGGCTGCTCCGTTCAGGCTGCGATGTGCACCGATGGACACCAGATCCACGCCCATGGCCGAATCCTGTGGCTGCACGGGCCCCAGAATCCTGGCTCCCTTCAGCGCACCGCAGCTAGCGTTCTGAACGCATGTTCCATTGTAACTTGTTTCCTGCGTGTCCCCAGTATCCCAAACAGAAACTTCCATGTGAGATTCACTCGCCGCATGTTCTGAGATGTGATACGTGTCAAGGAACGTGGGGTTCGCTGCTCCTGGCTTGACGAAGCCGCTGCGAACTCAATGCTTGTGCCACCTTTGGAACCGGCTCATGTCCGAGCACATTTGAGTTTGCTCATTTGGAGTTTTCGCGGCCCTGTTGCAAGGCCAAGGCAGCTGGAGGCCTGCTTGAACATTGCACTTACACATCGGTGCGGGCCAAATTCATCTGCGAACTTTTGCAACCAGGCCACTCTTACCCTGTAGCGTAGGCTCATCGGCATAGGTCGACGCCAAGGAAAACCCGGAGGGTCCACGTCTGGCACGTTCTGGCACCAATCATGGTACGGGTGTTATACCTCCACAATAGCACTAAATACAAGTAGATCCTCTTACCTTTCTTCATGGCTCATCATCAATGCAAGTATCTCTCCCTCGTTCAAGTTGCATCCCGTGGCTGTTGACAATTGACATGGGTTTCTTGAGCACTCGAAATGTTCGAGATTTGCCTCAAAAAGCTGTCTCCATCCATAGTGCTGGTCCTTCAGCTGAGCGTTCCCATTGTAGTGCAGATGACTTGCCCGGTCTGCTCCTTTTGCAGAGGCCTTCCGGTAGGCCTGGGAAGCTGCAGACTGTTGCAGAGCTCAGAGAGGCGCGGGATCCCAGACACAGACGCAACAACAGCTGCACTCATCGGTGACAGTCGGGATTTGGGGCACAGGATCTCAACCTCTTCCAAGTGTTGCCGAGGATGGCGCTTCTGGCTTGCGAGGTCGAAGGCATCGAGGCGCGATGCGACAGAGTCTGACTTCAGTCAATATTTGGTGCATGCCGATGGAGCACATGGTGACAAATAGTGCCAGCCAACAAGTGCCTGTCACAGGTAGTAGTACTCCGTGATCCTCCAGTGGTTACGTCCTTAACAGAGAAGGAATCGCCGGACAATCGAGATGGTTTGCCTTGCATCCGTCGGCATTACAAGGTGCAGATTTTCGAGAACTGTTCACACGCACTCCTCTCAGACATGTTCCGCATGTCGCTTTATGTCCTTACGACCTTTTTCGATGTGCACCGTGCTACGACAGTGCCCAGGCAAGGATGGTCTTTCGAAAGTTGAGATGGACCAGCGATGCTAGCTGGTGCCTCACAGGCTTCTCCTCCCAGGCTCGGCTTGTTTGTGCATGTCACAGTGGTTGTTCAGATTCAGGGTACTTTTATAAGGATAAGGCGGACAAGGAAGGCAGGTTCAGGTATGGCCGAGAACTTATCCGATATTAATGAGCCCGTGCTTATGTCAGGAGCCCTGGTCTTCCAAGCAACTTGGCAAATAAGCACTTCCTCCAACTTCAGCGGGGGGGGGGGGGGGGCGAGGGGGCATTTTATTAGGTTTCGATGCTTTACTGGTCTATGGCTGAAGCTTAGGTTTTTTGTAAGGGCATGGCCAGTGCGAGTTGCGGAGGTCGGGGATTTGGAGCCTTTGCTCTGGACAAGGCAGTGTCCTCAGCGTGAGGGGTGTTGCGGCGCGAGTTCAGAATGACAATTTTGTGGTTACCGACTTAACTCCAAAATGTTGCAAGACATGTCCCACATACCCTTTAGTTTGCGGTTGCAGACCAGGATTTGGGGGACTTGGCGGTCACAGGAACTGTTATGCGCATGTCAGCTGGAGCTGCACGGGGAAGGATCGTTGGGTTTGGTGTGTGGCTTGGGGATTTTTAGTGTTTAGTCTTGTGGGCTCCTTATTTCTGACTTCGTGCCCATGAACTGTTTACGTGCATCCCGAATGCGATTCGAGAAAGCGAAAACCTCCTTTCGTGGCACTACTCCCGATGCCTTAGGAGGAATCCCCGGTGCATCCACCAAGCAGCCGCCGGCACCTCGCAGCAAAGAGACCGTCCTCGTCCAGAGGGATTTCCATCAGGAGACTGACCTATGGGGGTTTACGAAAATGGGGGACCCCAAAAACACCCCCCCCAAATAGTAGGATCCCCTTATAATGAGGCTCATATATATAAGGACCCCCAAGAAGGTACCCCTACTATCGTAAACCCCCCCTGTGCTGACCTGCTTGTGGCATCTTGTGGCATCGGGTGAGTCCCGAGTGACGGTTCTCACAGCTGAACCCGCTCGGGAGGATTCTGGCAGCTCCGGGGCCAAGGAGGAAGCCAAAGCTGTGCGTGAGGTGCGCGAAGCGGGCCTTCCCGGACGGTAGTGTCAGGGGATTCGCTGTCTGTGGGTATTTCCCGGATGATGCCGGATGAGGTCGAGTCAACTCCACAATGAGTCAGTGAGCCATATGAGCTCACTAGATTCTTTAGGTTTTGTACGGGCGAACACGTTGTACACCCTCAAAAAATATCCTCCCAGTTCATCCCAGTTCCATACACGCTACGCGAGGCACTGCTTCCGTCGGAGCTGATGAGAGGCCTCCTTCCCGAGGCATTGCTGCGTCCGGCCCCTGGGGGAATGCTGACCGCGCCCATTCCTTTCAGTAGCTGTTGTTCCGAAGCTGCAAATTCTTCCGAACTTTGTTTGCAAAGGCACTTTCAGATTCTGGAGGGGCAGCGACGGGTTCCTACGTGGAGAGGACAGGTGGAAGCTGGTGCGGGTGGAGCGGTGTGATTTGTCTCGCGAGGAGAGGCACCCGACGCAACCCTCGCAGCGGCTTCAGGCGAACAGGGGCAGTCTAGTGAAAGGTTATGGCGGACTGCTCCATGTCCCAAAGCAGGCCTGAGATATGCAATATTACACGGTTCAGTGAAAGCGTCAGATTCAGTTCCCTTTGCCCAGCCATCTCCTTCCGGCGATCTGGCTTGTCCTTCCAATGGAACCAGGTAGAGCGAGTTGGTGACGACCGCGTACGGATCTGGCGGTATTTGTTGGAGGCTGAGGAATCAATCAGTCCCCTTTTAGATTTTTTTGGAAATTTGCGGGTTCGATTCAGGCTTTGTTGCACGGACTGATGACTGGGGGAAGTGCCGTTCGGTTCACCAGACCAGGACAGCATACACAGGCAATCACAGAACTTCACAGGGCTTCGTTTGCGCACTGAGGCCATCCGGTCACATGGGTGCACAGCCCAAGATGCCTCCTCACAGGTGGGCTCAGTCACTTAGTAGTGGCTTTGCGTCCCATGCCTAAAGGACCTTTATGCGTGGGGAGGCACCTACTGGTCAACCTACTGCTGAGTGAGACCGGCTCTCCTTTGCGGCGCCTGGCAGGGGCTCCCAGTCGGTCGCAGCTGTTCAAACGTGTTCTCCAGACGACTCAGAAGTGTGATTCCACTGCCATTCCTTGTCAGTGACTTTGAGCTTGTAGATGTTGCGGGGGCTTGATGCAGAGCTTGCGAAGGCTGACGTGCTGACACGCATAGAAGACCTGGCCTTCATTCTGTGCTGGGCAGACGAACAAGGCAACGAAATCTATATGAAACCGTGGCCACTTCACGGCCCCTTGGGCTGTTCCTTGTCAGGTCGGGTCGCAGAAGTTGCCCTACCTCGGCTTGGGCTAAACTTCAAGGCACATCGATCTCGCCACCTCTGCAACTATCGCATCCCATCTCACAATCCCGGCAGGTGAACGGCCAGGGTGGACTCGAATGCCTCGGCTTTGGCGGCCTCAGCTTGGGCCTCACACGCTCACGCAATCTCAGTGATGGGGCGGACAAGACGTGTTTTATAGGCATCGCGGCGGAATCGCGCATGGCGGAGCAGTCCGTCTCCAGCAAGGCTGGAACCTCTCGGTGAAAATTTTTTGTTCATGCGCTGTGCACAATGTTTACAGTATTCCACTGAATGTGAGTATTCGGCTTAGGTGAGGCTTCAGTTGCAGCGGTTCGGCGGTGCCGCTTTGCTTCTGCAGGTGCAGTCAGAATGTGTGTCCACTGCAAACCTGCTTGCGCATTCCTGTCACGAGCATTCGCAGATTTTTGCAGTCCTTCAAAACCTTCAGTTGCTGATAAGCAGCCGCGAGATTCGATGCTCTGAAGGGTCAGGATGGCGAGCTGGCAGTCCTGTGCTCTGCCCTACAGCGCCCGCGCCGTCCTGCTGGAGGGCCAGCCACTCAACTTTGCCAGAACAGGGACGTTGTCATTTCTGAAGGTGCTTGCCGTGTGCGAAGGCCTTCACCCATCGAATGGGGCGCCCCGCTGGTCTTTGATCGAAGCAAAGGGGCCAGCCGCGGACCTGGATGCGAGCCAATGAGGGCATGTCTGCCTTTCTCATTCTCTCAATATCGATCACAGCACATGCAGCACAGGCAACAAAGACCCTAAAGGTCCTAGATTCTAGATCTCTGCCCATCCTGAGCCGTCCTGCACAGGTAGCATTGATTCGCCGGCTCACTACTTCTATTCCATTCACTCCTCGCAGACGCACGCGCAAGCGCAGGCCTTGCGCGCAGAGCGCTTCCCAACAAAAGTGAGATATCAGAGCATTGTGCGATTGTGCGTGCGCGCATGCGTGGGTGCGTGCGCGCGCGTGCGTGCGTGCGTGCGTGGGTGGGTGGGTGGGCGTGGGGTTGGGGGTGGGTGTGTGTGTGTGTGTGTGTCCTTGTGTGTGTGTGTGTGTGTGTGTGTGTGTCCTTGTGTGTGTGTGTGTGTGTGTGTCCTTGTGTGTGTGTGTGTGTGTGTCCTTGTGTGTGTGTGTGTGTGTGTGTGTCCTTGTGTGTGTCTGTGTGCAATTATGTATCTATGTATGTATGTATGCATGTATGTATTTATGTATGTTTGTTGTGTTTGACAGGACCTGGCAGCAGAGTTGTACCGCCTGACCTGCTGCTGGCTCATGCACAGCTATGACGAGGCTGCGAAGCTGCAAACCGCTGCACATCTTGCATCTGGCAGCAATTTTGTGACCTCGCACGAAGATAAAGCCAGGTGGTGAGATCAGCTAGCGCTCTAAGCTGCGACAGTCTGAGCCCACAGGAGGCCCGTACTGAAAGTGCCAAGCTGGTCAGCCGACCTGCCCACTAGTCACATATTCATCATATTCATCCTTGAGGCAGCCTTGTGGTCGCAGCTGGGTGCTGAGACGGCTCACGACCAGCATGCCGGCTGCCCGGGCAGATAGCAGAGGTGAACTCAATACTTCGCTTAAATTGGGATTCAGCTTTTGCAAGCCCAGGTGGATGCACACGCCTGCCGCCTTCACCTTTCCACGGCGCTGCAGCCCTTAGGCCGTGTAAGCGTGTAGTCGCAGGAGAATAACGTCTGCGGGCTCCCTGCGAGTTAGAGAAGTGAACGCTCCGTCGAAGGCTTGGAGCCGCCGTGGTCTGTGAGGGATGCTTACATCCAGCACATGCCTTAATCAACCCACTGGAGCATCACTTACTCTTGGGCCTTGATGCCTCTTCATCTGCTTCACTGATGACCCCGTGCCCGTGCAGTTCAGGTTTCTGCTCAACCGCAACCAGTGTTCGGCGAGCTGCCTTTTGACACCAGAGCTGGAGCTGCAGGCGACACGGGAGCTGGGACAGAGCACAAAAATCGCATGAAATAAGCGTAACCGCAGCCAGGAGAAAATAGAACTGCATGATTTTCTGATGCAGGTCTTGCAGATGGTGCCTGAGCTCGTCGGACTCTGAGCTTAGAGGCTTAGAGTTGACAACGTCAGTGATCCCTGGATTGAAGTGTCGAGTTTCTGATCTTAGCATTCTTCGACTGCAGGGAGGTGCAGGATGGCCTCCTTTAGAGAAGAAGTCTTGTGAATGCCTTCATTCTGTGAATTATCTGGCGCTTCTTGCTGCGACTTCTTGAGGACGGCCTCAGCTGGCTCCTGCGCAACCGCAGGCGCGTCCTGGAGGCAAAGAGCGGCGTAGGATCCCCAGGCACTGGGCTCACCGGCTCACCGGGCTCACGGTACTCCAGCCTTATAAGGTTCTCGTAACCCTGGAGCCGCCTCCTCTTGCTCCAGGCGATGGCCGGCAACTCAGCCTGTCTCAGCCTAGCCCCTAGTCGGAGCATGTCTTTGCGCCTCCTTCCGCGGAAATTTCCGGAGGCTATGAGGTCAAGGTCTTCTCTGAGACCTCTGCATCAGAATGGACCTCCACACTCAGCCTGCAGCTCAAACCTCTCCTTCTCGCAAATCACAAGAGACAGCTCTTGAAAGCTCTTGAAAGCTCCTAGGCTTGGCCCCATCAGCAGAGGACACCCCCACTGGTACAGTCGCATCGCAGTGCAATGCACTTGTCGAGGAGCATCCGAGAAGTGGCGCCTCAGCCCTGCGCTTCATTGATCAGCAGCACCTAAGCTCAACGTCTTTTCGGAGCCGTGGGGTTTAGGGTTTAGGGTTTAGGGTTAGGGATTAGGGTTTAGGGTTTAGGGTTAGGGTTTAGGGTTTAGGGAAGTCCAGGCTAGTCCAAAACGGCTGCTGCGAGGCTGTCTTCTGGCCCGATCTCGCAGCAGCAGGCCTTCGAGATCTTCACACATGCTCGGACCTTGGCAATTGTGATGTGCAGGCCATGTCACAGCTTGACGACGGGGCCAGGTCACTTCGCTCCAACCATTTCCAGACGACCCTCCGCACTTGGTTGCTGCCTGCCTCGCCGCAGCCTCTACAATTTGTCGTGTCTCGGTTTCTTATAGGGATGTTTAGCGAGCAGTCTTTGTAGCCAAGGCCCGGGCTTATGGCCCAGCCTCTGCAGCCTTGGCTGCTCTCGCCCGCGCCACGGCGGCGGTTACGACGCCTCTGCATGCCTCTACGCTTGTTCTGAAACGTTCTAAGCTACAGCAACTTTGGACACTTTCTGGTAGCTGCAAATATAGACCCCAAAAGGGCCCGTGACCCATTTAAAAGCCATTAAGAGCCACACCCGCTGCGGGTCAGCGAGCCCTCGCACGCGAAAGCTCCCAGCAGGTGACGAAGGCCTTGTGGAGAAGCTCCCGAAAGCGCCCGGACCCGACTCCAGAGCCAGCTGCGACATTACCCCCCACCCCTATGCCTATGCCAATACGCCCCTGTTGCCGGTTGCCGGTGGCTGCCAGTGGCTGCCAGAACGCTCAGAGGTGTTTGGCATGGCTGAGGCCGAAGAAGCAGGGCTTGCTTCCCAGCGCAGCGCACAAGCGCTGGCTGCAGGAGGCAGGGACAACATGGCCACAACGTGCCATGAATCTGCGAACTGCGAATGGCTCTGTGAAGCATCGTGAAGTGAAGGAATGAGTCTGAAGAAACAGTTCTTTGTTCACGGGTAGGTGAGGGAAAGGTTGGCTACGGCCATCCGTGAGATTCCCTTGCCTGAGCCTCCCGCGCCTGCGGCAGTTCCCCGAGAGGCGTGTGATTGCAGAGTGCAAATTCAGTGAATGAAGTGGCAGTGGCTAGGGGTGAAAGGTCCTCTTGCAGCACAATGCACTGCGGCTCGCGGCCCCGCCCTGGGGAACTGCGGGGCAGTCGAGTCAAAGAGTTGCGTGAGCTCACAAACAAAATCAATGATTGCTGAGGAGCTCTGAACTCGAGTACTGAATATATGGCCCTCCTTTGATTCCTTGGTTCGAGGCTTGGCCCATCGTGCAGGTTGCCGATTGCGACATGCGCGCCGCTTGGGGCTCAGCTCGCTGTGTCCGCGCATCCTGCACATCACGAGTCCCGCTGGGATCCGCCCCGTATTCATGTTCTCGAAGTTCTCGTCCTCTGCGACCTCAACGTGTGGGCTATTTCTCTCCCATGTGGCGCGAGGTCTCAGGCATAGCAGCTCTGCGGAAGCCGCTGAAGGCAAGCCCACACTTGGAACCAACAGCAGCTGCCGGATTGAAGACGATAACAATGATAGCAGGAGATTTGCGACTCATTCTTCAACCTTATTCCCACGCCTCAAGACGCCCCAGTGCGGCACCCAGACAAAAAAAAACAAACCTCCGCATTCCTTTTCTGCGTTCAAGCGGTGCCCGACGCAAGGCCCTGGCGCCATGGCTTCTTCGTGAGATCCAGGAGCATGAGCGTGTCTCACGTGACATAGGTATCCTCAGTGACAGGTGTCACAATTCTGTTGAGCGTACCAGGCAGACCCGCGCTGCACGTCCCGAGGGGCAAGATGGGTCCGTGGCTCAGAGAGACGGCTGCGAGTTCGCATGCAGTTCATCCTTAGCAGCCTTAGCAGCTTGCGTTTAGTCCAGGAAGAACCACTTCTTAGATTTCTTAGATATGTCTCAGGTCCGCCGCTTGGAGGAGTCACTGCTGGAGCTGAGGGCGACCGTGCAGGCCACTTGTTCTGATTTGCCACAGGGCAGCATTGGCACTTGGGCTCTGCGCCTCTTGGCCATTCCGCACTTCACAGAAGCTTGCTGAGGCCCACCAGAGAAACGCATCCTGACCCCCACAACACGACAACACATTGACAATTTAGGTGTTAGGTCCGAGAAGGGCACGCAATGGCTGCTGCCTATGCAATTGAGAAGCCACGCAGCACTGCATCCCCTCAGCCTTATATTCGCAGGTGCCAAGCTTGCGGGGCAATCTCCAAGAACTGACCCTGGCCTTGCAGAGGCAAGACCTGATTTTTGCATATTTTTGCGGTGTCTTTGCGGATTTGAGTGGTTGTGTGCGAAGCCGAATACGCCTGCATCCCGGATACCTGCCAAACCGGTACTGAAGTGCAGGCGTGAGTGTAAGCATATGAGCATACACACTGACATACTCTGAGTATCAGAACGACGTTCGGCACAAAACTCGGAATGCCAGATAATGCCAGATCAACAAGCAAGTTCGAGACCACCGGCTCAGAAAGCAATGGAACCAACATGAGCGATTTAACTTGCACCGAACTTCGCCATTGAACGGCTCCTGCTTCCAGGCAGTTGCAGCAGGACCGCAGGCAAGCAGCGGAGGCGCGCACCAAAGGTTGTTCCACTTCACTTCCCGGAAAGGCTACTCTGGGATGAGCCTGCCACCTGAGCTCAGTCCTAACATCGCAAGCATACTCTCGTGGAGCTTCTCCCCTTCAGATTTAATATTACCTGTAGACGCCTACAAGAAAAATACAAGAAAAACAACCGAAATTTGGGGGACTGTCGGAGAGCTGTGTATAACTCCCATCTTTGCCTGGAATTCTTCATGCACATTGGGGCTCAACATCTCTGGCTTCAAAGCCTGGGACGGGAGTAGCACCTCAGTAGCAGTGGTTGCCTTGCTTGTGCAGGCCATTGCGGCTGCTGAGGCAGCTGCTGCCGTCACCCGGCTTCTTATTAATGGAGCACAAGCTGAGTGCCGGTCGCCTGAGAACGATCAAGTCAACATGCTCTTGCCTAGTTGTACGATGAACTCATCTTTTCGGGCTTCTAGCCAACCACTTCATCAAGTTTCTACCTAGTCGGGAAAAGAAGTAATTGAAAGTCATGCGCTGCCGGTCTGTGAAAGCAGGTGTCTTCCCGAGCTGGTGCTTAAAAATGAAACCTTGGCACAGGATGGCACAGGATGGCACAGGACGGCACAGGCACTCTCAGTTCAGGCTTAGACTGTGATGCTCTCCTGCCGAGAGCATGCTTAGATCTAAGGAAACTTCAAACACCGTGGCCTCAGCTCTTCGAGCTTTGCAGCTGAAAGCAGGTCTCGCGCAGCTCGACAGCAGATTTGTTCAAGAAGCAGCCCACGTGCTTGTGCTTCTGTTTTGCTGCTCTTGCCTCTTGCTATGAAGCAAGTGGCTCAGTAAAGGGAGAAGGATTCCGAAAGGTTCAGATATGGGGGTTTCCGACGATTTGGTACCCTTTCGGGGGCCCTTATAAGAAAGATGACAGTACTTGGCTGCTTTCCGGCTAGCTCTCAAGTATGTTGTGCCTCCGGGCCCATGAACGAGCACTCTAAACCCTGGGCTCCAAGTCGCTTCACCTCCATCCACCTGTCTCAGCAACGCCCAGGCCGCGGCTGGACTTTTGCGGACTGCTTCGACTTTGGATGGCTGAGCAAGGCGGGCTGCTGAGCTATACTCGGACCCCCTTCTTTGGGAGAAGATGCGTGAGGTTGATGATAGCGAAGGCTGTGCAAGTTTGATGCCGAGGCGGTGAGATCCTTTGCAAGCACGGCGTGGACGAGGACAAGACGTTGAGGCGCCCCGGCAGAATTTCGGCATTTCCTCGGGTTTCGCTTCTTTCCGAGACATCCGTTGCTGCTCAGCTCAGGTTAGTGGCTGACGCGCTGGTGTTACAGGCCGAGCATGCAGACTTGCGCCAAGTTGACTCAAACTGTGGTCTGAGGCCCTCAAAACTGAAGCCTTAAGCCCCGGCCCCATCGCCTACACCTCGGACCACACACAAGACGCGGAGGTCCGTGCCGCTCAGTGTGCCTCCGCTTTGCGTGCCCTCCGCGCCGAGGTTCCTGGCCAACACAAGCTTTGGGATGGGGTTTCAGTGGGTGGATTTAAGGAGTTTAATTTCGAGCACAAGACTGCGCAGCCGACTTCACCACCAGCATCATCAACACCGCTACCAAGCTCACGAGGTTGAAGCCATGAGGTCGAAAGGTCGCTTGCGGTCTTGTGCGCAGGGTTCAAGGGCCACAGTTCCTGATTCGGCCGGAAACCTAAGCCCCTAAGCCCCCTGAACAAGTAACTGTCGTATGTCCTAGAAACCCTCCCTAAACCCTAACTTAAACCCTACGCCCTATAAAGCCTCAACCCTACACGCTGACCGCCGGAGGATGGCCGATCTGCAGAACTCAAGACCAAGGCGGCAGCGGAGGAAGTTGCCAAGGAGCCGCATTTTGGGGACCGGACCAAATACGGTTTTTTTAATTTTAGGGCTTTAAAAGGTTTTACGGTTTACAGGGTATACAGGGTTTATAGGGCTTATAGGGTTTATAATGTTTATAGGGTTTGAAGGATTTATAGGATTTATAGGGTTTATAGGGCTTTGGTTGCAGGAGCGACACTACCTGACGCCCAATCCGTGCGGAGTTGGCTTTGTCATCGGCGCGCCTGCCACCAGTCGATGTAGACTTTGATGAAGGGTCGTGCATATTGTGGTCATGAATGCCAGGTTTCGGCTACGGCCTTGGCAAATTTTGGTCACTACGCTCGTGGTAGCTATGTTTGACACCTCCTTGACTTGATGGTTGAGTCTGGAGTCACACTCTCGAAATTCTCTTGGTCTCAGCCCCACCTCAGCCTCATTCTCCCCAGTCTGAAATGTAGGTCGGGGCGTCTATGTCACCGTAGGGGCTTTTCCTGCTTGAGCTAGGGCTGCAGACAGTGTCGCATGCAGATCCGCGCCTGCTGGCTGTCGAGTTCCTGTTCGGCATAATGCTTCGTGAGACGCAGGTCGAGGTGCCAGGGGGGCAGTTTGCGGACTGTCCTATACTTCTTCGGCTAAATCGGACACCGGAAGGTTCTGTCACGTCCCCTTTCCTGGTCAGGTTCTACATTCTTTCCTTCACGGAAAGGAGGCAAGGCTCGTTGCTGAGCAGATTGAGACGTAAGCAAGTAACTGCAAGTATTTCGCCTCTTGAACAGGACTCATGGGTTCATCAGATGCTCATGGGAGGTGGTAAAACCTGCGCCCTTGGTCCGCAAACAGGAGAGCGCATCACACCTATGCCATCTGGCATTTCGAGGAAGTCGTGAAAGAATTGAACTGACATAATGTTACTGCCTGCGCCGCCTCAGCCCTGCTGCAGGGCACCATCTAACCAACCTTTGCAGATCACAAGGTGCAGGGTTGAACAACGGCCACAGCACCCGGAAGCCTCAACGGCAGCCCCAACCGCGGGCAATCGCGGCCCTGAAGAGTCCCCAGGGGGTTCCCTGGAATCTCCTCAACTCAAGGTCCCACGGGGGTAGGCAGTTCCGCAAGCACGCCTTGGGAGAGCCTTGGGAGAGCCAGGCGGCTCCGGGGCCTAGTCGGATGTGGTCCAAGTGACTTGCCCACTTCGCTCATGTTGGCACTTGAGGTCGTGGCGCCCATTTCAGCAGCACTGCTAGCCACGTCTCGCCTGGCGAACTTATTAAAAAGTCCAGTATTCTTTCATTGGAGGGTTCACTTTATAGTGTTACCTTGGGCGCCTTCTTCCAAAAGTGAGCCTCGACAGCCACCCTGAGCATTCTTTCCGGATCCTTTGGTGGACATTCTATGGCAGGCCGTCAAGGCTCTTCGTTGCCATCGTTCCGTTTGGAACTGAGTGCGTGCATGAGGTTGCAATGCACCAGAGGAGCGAACTGGGTACCGTGCTGGCACATGGTGTATGACATAGCTCCCGCGCGCCCAAGGTCCAGCCTTCTGACCTTTTCTCGCAACCAGCCGCTCAGCATCGCATAAATCATCATGATACAGAGCACGGTCACTATGGTACATGAGTGCAGGCAGACGTGTGCGGATGTGCGCGGCGGAAGTATGTAGCGGAAGTATGTAGCTTTCAGGGGTGTTGCAAGTAGGAGAAGATCTCACACCAGGCTACGGTCTCGTCTATGCAACCCCTGCTTGGGCGTACCTGCGGTGCCCCCAGCCGACATGCAATGACTGTGCGAACCGTGCGAAAAAAGCAGTGGAATGGAAGATGCAGAGGGACAAGATAGATGATGTCCAATTTGAGGTGCTCACCTTCGATTTCTCCCGTGAGACACGGGCGAGCTCCTCAGAAGAGCATCACGCAGAGTAAGCACACGGTCTCAGCGCCCAAGATGACACATCTATGTCTGATGGATTCTTATGAGGTGACGTCGCAGCTTCTGCATCGCCTGCGCCATGCACGGCAGCGGCGCAGCGCCGTTTGTGCGTCGCCGCAAAGCATCAAGTCATCAGCTCAGCTGGGCTCAGCCAAGGAATGCAGAGGACACATTCATTCCGTTTTTCCATATGTGCACGCTGGGAGACCCAGCTCAGCTCAGGTCGTTGTGCCCCGGGCCTGTTGCTTTGAGGAACTTACAGCAGCACAAGCCGCAAGCGTTGAAGAGCGCATGACTCTGAATCGCGCACTCTTGGCAGGGCTGTAGGCTAAGATCAGGTGGAAGATGGTGGAAGCATGCTGAGCGCACCAGATTGGCAAGTCTACTCTGGGACATCCAGCGCAACCTAGCTGCTGGCCCGTAGAAGTATACTTGGAAGGAAATATGTTCGGACAAGAAAGTGTGAGACCTTGCTGAATCATTAAGCTACCCGTTGCTTAGTGTCTTCGGCATCATATAGCGCCATGGTGCCGGTGCCAGTGGAGACCAAGATCACCACAGCCACGAAGGCACGTCATTTCGCCGGTCGCCCTACTAAAGATCCACCTGAAAGCCTCCACCAACCCCTCGTGTCAAGGTGGATGGCGTCATCTGCCATGGTATGTGCCGCATTATGGCAAAGTTTCTGAATGGAAAAGCCCTGCCAGACTGCGCCGAGGCACATGGCAAATGTCAATCAGCCAAGTACAGTCAGAGTAAAGAGTCATCAGCAGTGGGCTTTTCGCATCCTTTCAAATTGTGAACAGATTCAGAAGCCTTGCTACGAGTGGTGCATGGCAGGGCAAGGGCCTTCCTGACTGGGCCAAGGAAGAGGCCGGGCAGAGGTGTTGTGAGGGCAAACCCACAGCTTGGTCGCCATCCCTGGTTCTCATGGTCAAAACCCGTTCCTCAGAGGCTATGCAGTACTTCCGAGAGAACCTGACCCTTGATGACAAGTTCCACTCGAACTGGCAGAACGCCAAGCGTTTTCTGCAGGTGCAGAAGGTGTTGCTGCACATGGGCTTGTATTCTGGACTGCTGGATAGCTTCGCGTGTGCCGAGGTCTCGCATGCGAACGGAACTCTGCCTCGCTCATTTCCGCAGGCTCATCGACGGCTGGTACCCAGGCAACAAGGCCTCGAAATGCCTCGGCGCCCACCATGAGCGGCAAATCTCATGGATGTGGCACTCCTTGCGAGGACTTCTGGAAGCAGTGCCGCGACTTCTGCAAAGAATGGGCCGGCTGGCAGTCAGGCGAGTTTGCACACAGAATGGTGGCCCGACCCCAAGAACCCAGCCTGACCCCAAGACTGTTTTCAGGACCTCCTTTGTGTCGACCATTGAGCGCCGGCAGGTGCCTGTCGGAACGCAGTAGCAGAGTAAGAAGGGAAGGAGCGGACAAGAGAACGATGGAGAGAGAGCGAGAGAGGAAAGAAGAAAGAAAGAAGTAACGAGAGAAAGAAGAAATAAAGAAGGAAAGAAGGAACTAATCGATTGCAGAAGGAGCGAAAGAAACACAGAAAGAAAGAAATAAAGAAAGAAAGCTGCTCGCGGCTGGGCCTGTTACTGGCCCAGGGATTATCCCGCAGCGAGCAAGCAAACAAGAAGCCGCACACGCCGCCGTTTTCATTCTGCAGAACAGACCAACAGCATCAGAGCTTCCTCTTGGCAGTGTCAGGTTGAACAACTACCTCACGCACTTGGCCCGTGGAACAGACATGCAGGACTCAGGGTCGTTGCAGGGAGCTTGCTCTGATTCTTGGTGGCTTGTGCCGCTGTTGCCTTGCAGAGAGCCTCGTATTGTGAACTGTTGAACTCATCCTAAACCTTAACCTTAAACCCTAAACCCCTAAGCCTTAAACCCTGAACCTTAAACCCTAAACCCTAACCCAAAACCCTAAACCCAAACCCCTAAACCCTAAACCCTAAGGCGTATTTGGCCTCTCCATCTTCCCAGGAGGTCATACCAAGCCAAGAAATGCTGGCGGCTGCTGGCCGGCCGGGCCGAGCTCTGCAAGAACTGCGCACGTGTTGAAGAGCTGCGGTTTAGGGTTTAGGGTTTAGGGTTTAGGGTTTAGGGTTTAGGGTTTAGGGTTTAGGGTTTAGGGTTTAGGGTTTAGGGTTGCAACCGCGCAGGTTTGGCATCCGGATCAGCGACATTCGACTAACCAGCGACAGCATCTTCCAGTTCTGCCGTGCCTGGACTGGTTTGGACTGGAGAGCAGGCTCGGGACTGTGTATGTGCGAGAACATACGTGTATATATATATATATATAACATACAGATGTTTATACATAAATAAAATGCATAATAGATATCAGAACCTTTTCAGTTTAGGGCGTCTTTGGGCTGGCTTTCGGGCTTCGCGGCTTCAGGGCCTGGCTTTGCGGTGGTGGCACTAGGGTGGTGCTACTACTACGCTTCTGAGAATTCTGGGCTGTGTAGCTTCTTGGTCTTTGGGCCTCGTGGATTCGGGACTTCTTGGCTTCCTTTGAACGGATTTCGGTATCATGCCTAGCAGGAAAGTTTACATGCAACAGCAGGTTCACTTGCGGAAGAGTGGAGGACACTTAGGCTTAAAAAGCAGAGTAGATAGTTCATGTATAGATATGTATATATAAACGATTAACTAGTAGCGTGTCGAGGTGCCACGGACTTTTTTATGGAAGCTTTGTTTCTAGCAGCATCCGCGGCTACAGCACATGTTCGTATTGTAGTCTAGAATTGCCTTCGAAAGGTGCCGTTCGCGACTGTCAAGAGTTGCTTGCACCACAACATGAAAACGTTTCGGGCAGTTTGCCGAGCACCATGAAAGCAGACAGCAGTAAAGCCGTAACTTTGCGTGCTATTTCTTGTCGTCACCTGCCATACACCTTATCGCAGAATCCAAAAGCCGTCATCTGCTTTACACAATCTGAAGGACAACCTCCTGGCATTTTCACGGGGAAATAACGTGGTCCCCTCCCTCCGTTTCTTCTTAAGAAAGTTCGGACATGGACTCGAGGAGATTCCTTGACGAGGGGGATCACCTGCAGCGCTTGATACGAGCCCTTTTCTTTGCCAATGAACGCAACATCTATCCTCTTCTTCACAAGGAATGTTGACTGTCAGCCTTCACATCTTTCCGGAGGAAAAAGAGAGTCAGCTCTGGTCGCTCACATTTTACGAAATACAAAACGTTCATTTGTCTAAGAATCTCATTCCGATCAGGTCAGGGGGCTCGATCCCTAGCCACGGAGCCTGTGTGTATTGTGCTGCTAAGGTGGCTTCAGGGCTGCCCAGATTCCTAACATTTCTTTTTGCATTCGAACTAGCTGGTGCCTTAGGTAGCTGGAGAGGACGCTGTGTTCACAGCATTGTGATAACGAAGCGGCCTTCGATGAAGGCCAGGAGGTGGACAGAATTTTCGTCCTCTGCATGGGGCCAAGAAATAGAAACGCTTTTTGGTCACCGCATGTTTAGGTCTTGCTAAGCTTGAGAGGAGACATGAAGAACGTGGCGAAAAAAAACGCAGGTCCCGCCCGAAACCGTTGTGATTGTGTGGCGTGCTTCCTGAATGCCGAGCGCTGCTGGACCTGCACTCTGCAATCTCAATCGCTTGCCAAACTCATGTCTTTCACTGACCTGAATCATTCTCTAAGCCCATCTGTATACTCACCTCACTCAATCACTCACCTCACCTCCCTCAATCATTCACATATGCACTCAGTCTTCCTACCCATTCATTCACCCGCTGACCCATGTGTGAGCCTGTTTAAGTGGCTATAGCTCCGTACAGGTGACGTCGCGCGTTCTGTTGCGGTGGATCCCAGGTTCATCCAGGTTCATAGGCTTTACGGGTAGAATCGGATAACGCTCTGCTGAGCCATCTGGCAACCCTCTTCAGCATGGACCTGAGTGCAACTCCAAGAAAAACGACTCCAGGCCCTGATCTTGCACCCCTCAATGGCACCCTGAGACACTGTGGGATGGGACATCGACTTGAGCTGCTGCATCAGATTTATGGGGAGGGGGGGCCCATGTCAAGCTGGAAGGATCCGCCACTGACCCTTGTCCTTGGCCCGTGCCTGAGGCCAGCTTGTAGGCTTGTACCTTCGTTTCTTCGAACCTTAGTTACAATAGACGCGCGGCAGTCTGCGGCCGGATTCAGTTTTGCTCGTATGCATGTGCCTTTTTTACAGCTGCAGCAGGCGTTCGATGGATTGCTCTGCAGCTGGAAGCTACTCGCGCAAGCACGTGGCCACAATCGGATCTACCTGAACCCTCCATGGTCCCATATGGACAGCTGGCTCGAGAAGGCAGGATTTGGCAGCAGCTGTGTGCTGCCACGATGGAGCCATGAAACATGCCGCTGCTACTAGGCAGCTCTGGAATATGCGACGGGTCTGCAGATCTTGATTGTTGTCCCAAGATGGACGGAGGCATCTCAAAAGCTTCGAGTATTTCTTTGTCCACGTCTGCGGCATGCTATCTGGTAGGAGAGCTGCATCTCAACCCTGACCTCAGCGCAGTACAGCCTCAGGTGCAGCAGGCTTGTTTGTGCCAGCAAACAAGAAGGAAGATAAGCTTGAGCTAGCGCGTGTGGGTGTGTTCCACATAATGGCCGGATTTGCATCCTGAGAATCTGCACTATATGTGGGTGCTCATTCGTGCCAGGTTCGTCTCGCGACCATTGGCCCTCAAGACGCGGAGGACCGCTATTCTGAGCGATGGTGTGCGGGAAAAGCCAGGGTTCTGATCTAGGATTTGGGATGCAGAGTTCGCTCACCCTACGAGCGGAAAAGCTATGGCTCCCTTGGACGTCACTCTGATCTGGATGGTGTAAACCTGGCTGTGCCCCCGGAGAGCTGATCACGGTGCCGCCTTGATTTCACGAAGTGCATCTGACCTCTAGCAGCCCCTCGCAATCAGGTCGCAGCCTGAGCACCACTACAATCGGTGTCCATGCCCTGACTTCTCTGGGCATGCGGACAGCACCGTTGTTTGATGTTATGTAGTTATGTGCTTCACGCTGCTGGCCCTGTACATAGTAGAATTCTCACAACTGTACAAACATCGAGGTGAGCCCCAGAAAGATGCCTTTCAAACATTGAGAACGTGCATGAAAACGTCGCTGAGCATCGATTTCTTTCAACGTCGCTCACCATTGCCCGACCGTGTTGCACCTGCCTTCAGGTAGGTGCACGCATCAAACATATGTTTCGACTGCGTTCGATGAGCAAATTTTGAGTGAAGAGTGCAAGTGTTCACTCTGAAGTTTCTGAGGGGTCTCCAAGTCATGCATGTTGCAGTCATGTTGCGATGCACAAGCTTGAATGGTATTCGTCTCCATCTAGGTTTGGCAGAGATACTCGTGCACTCGCCGTTGCTTGCGCTCACGCGTTTACACTCGTGTTCCGTATGCAAGACTTGGACCCCTGGATTTCGCCAGAAGCGTGAAACAAGCGCAGAAAACAACTTGGAGTTCAAGGATTGGACAATGTGAGATTGCGTAGAGACTGTAGACTGTGAAGCATAGTTTCAATGCCAGGCTCCTGCGCGTAGCTGAGCTGGCTGGCCAGCAAACCACCTCCACGGTCGTTGCAGCTACGGCAACGGGGAGGATGCGGAGATTCCTGAGCGCTCTCCCCAGAATAAGAAGTGCCAGCGGCAAGCTTCCCCCAGAAGACTTTGCTGCTGAGCATGTCGTTCGGCAGGTCAAGCCGTGAAGCCATGCCGCTAGTAGGGTTGTGTCAGGTGCAGTGGGCATCGGAAGCGAGGGAGGCCATCGTGGTGCAGTGCGGTAGTGCGGTTGTTAGGGCGCTGGTGTCACCGGATCCCTGTGCTGTATTTGGACTTGGGAAAGCAGGCACCAAGCAGCTTCCAGAAGTCAATGTCGAGGAAGCGCTCCAGGCTGCAAGCGTTTCCATCGCCGTAGTTCTAGGTATCGCCGTGTTCAGGTGGTGTGTGTTGGGCGGCGCCAGTCAGTACATTTACGTTGCCTGCTTGATCAGGTTGCCAGGAAAATGCTAGAGCTATTCAGAGGAGCAACCGCATTAATCGATGAGATTGATTGGGCTGGGTACCCAGCGCGTGATGAGTCCGGCGATGCTTGGAGCTCCGCCCTGGAGCTGAAGGAATCAGCGTGGCGTGCCTGGCACATCCTCAAAGGGCGAAATGATTGGGTCTAAGGTCATGCACCCTTTGAAGAGTGAGCTGCATTGGCCCTGTGGCCCGGTGCGTGCACTGGACATGGCGGAAGCCACGGCGACCCATCCGAATCATCTGATTTTCGAATCGAGCAATATCTGCAATTTTGAAAACACCTTCGAGCATCTCGGAATGCTCAGAGGCCACTTGTCCCGAGTCTGGGTCGCAGCCGCCTTAGTGTGTTCACCGTTGTGCTGGCAAGAAATGGAAACCGAGTGTTGCTTACATAAGGCGATGGCGAATCATGGGATGCCTGGCGCGAAGCCTAGAGCACGCTGCGATAACCTGCACACCCAGTCGCAGCAACGGTCTCCCTGTTCATCTGATCCCTCATGCCGAGATCTACCGAGGTGGATGCAGTCCACGAGATGGGTGGTAGCCTCCAAGCAGCTTTCAAGGTGCTATCCGCAGTGTTTTCAAAGCTTGAGTCCAGCGAGGTCCAGGCTTCCTCTAGTCCTCTAGGCTGTCTGAGCGAAAAGAGCAACAGATGCATGACTTCACGGTGACTTGAAGAAGTATCCGTTTGCAAGGCAGGTGTTTCCGAGAACAAGATGATGATGAAGCCACACCCAGTAGTACTGGACAGAAGGCTGGCCCAGAGAAGAGAGATGGCTGCACAAATCGACTTCGCAGCTTGTTGCACTCTCTCCTTGACTTGTAGAAATGCAGAAAGAGTGTGGCTTGCAGACATTGGTCCGTTGGCCAGCCTCCGCTGTGCTATTCACCCAGGTTTTGTGGGCCCGTGGAAGTGTTGCAAAGCGCAGTAGTTTTGTTAAAGAACATGTAGGCGCGCGCAAAAGTTCAAATTGTACCTCATACGAACTATAAAACTTCGAATGGGTTTCAGACCAATTATGTGACCGAAGCCTGCAAGTGGCAAAGCAGTGCGTGCACAGGGCAGGGCATATCAGGGCGAGGTGGCAAAAGCCATCGGCAGGAGGAGTCAAGAAGAGGAGCGAGAAGCAGGAGGAGGAGGAGGACGGCGGGAATGAGTGGCTTCCGGCGCCGAGAACCTGCAATTTACGTGTGGTCGAAGGTTAGCAGCTCTAGTGCCTTCTTGCTCTGCTTGCGGCCAACCCGCTTCTCTTGAACCCAGTTCCTTGTTTGGGGCGTGGTCGTGGTCGTTTCCCAACTGCCAACGCCTTATGGACTTATAGTCTTGGTTGCGTGACGAGAGATCCGGAGAACTGTAGGGTCACGCACCCTGAACAAAAAAGAACCTGGAAAATCTGTTACAAACTTCCACAGAGTTGGAGCTACTAGACCTACAAGAAGCTGATGGCTTGGAAATCTTGAGCCACAAACGCAGGGATAGCAAACCCTAAGCAAGGATTGGCAACAGCTGATGGGCGAAGAATCCCTAGACAGTTCCAAGCATTTCGTGGGGTAAGCTTTGCTCGGAAGTGATTGTTCTGCTTCATAGTCTCAGGCCACTTCGAAAGCAAGTGAAAGCGACTCATGGCTGCGCTGACATGTTGGCAACTATGACCGATGACCTTGGCAGGTGGTATTATGTGCAGTTGCTGCCGCTTCTGGCAACCGAGCTGGCAAGCGAGAACCCCAGCCCGTCCTCGAAATGTATTTGTGTGGCGCCTCGTGCAACGAGTGTGTAACATGTGGCTGCAGTCTGCTCACGGCTCGCAATTGCTGAGGTTTTCTTGGACCGCGTACGCCGGTGCCCAGGGAAGAGTTGCTGGCCTTCTTTGGTCCGGAAGGCCTGATTTTGGAGTTGTGTCACGCCTTTTTCTGCACCAGAAGTCAACAGTTGCCTCCCTTCAGGGCACTGCGGCCCTACCCTGACAAGGCCCTGTCATCCGCTGCCTTCCGTCTGCGGGATTTATGTCGAAAAATGTTGACTATGCATCCCTCGCAAGGCTCCCTGATGCAGAAACCAAGCTCTTGACCCTTGGCCGGCAGCTGCTCCACAGTGCCAGCACCTCAAGAAAACACAGCGTGCCGAGCTGGTTTCACAGTGAGCCGCAGTGAGCAGCTCTGCTGCAAAGGTCTTCCCGCATCTCCTCAGAAACACCAGCTTGTGTTAATAGCAAGCATAGCATCCTTGCAGCGGAGTACAAGGGTTGTAAGTTGAGAGCTGTATCATGACATGGCCACAAGGCCAGCGGGTGTGACTTGTGACAGGTTTGCCTCATCGCATCCGCTATGGACTGCTGCCTGACCGTGCCAGCTTCCAAGCGGAGTGGAAAGCTTCTGGACTCTCCGTCAGCTTTCTTCACTCTTCAGTCTCTTTTTCTCATCTTCATCTGACACAACCTATCTCTCTCCACCACCGAGGCCAGCGCCGTCGCTGGGCTTAGCACACGTGGGCGAGGAGCCCGCAGGGCGCTGCTGGCCCCTGGGCTTAAACAGCAAAAAAAGAGAAGCGGAGAGAGCCAGCTCTTCTGAGTTTTGCGGATCTTTCAGGAAGCCGAAGCTCTCTTAGGCCGTGCCCTTCATTGGCAAAGACTGTCCCTCCACAGCCTCAGAGTTTGCCCATCCTGACGTTGCCATCGGGTCGGCCACTCAGCTCGTGCAAAATGTACGAGACCAGATAGGACAGTTACCCACAGGCCCAGAGGTTGCGCAACTATTGAACTTAGCTTGCCCCATGCGGCTGCTTCACAGCTCATTCCGACATCAAGCCAACGCCTCATGCACCAGGTTGACTCTCCTATCCTACCGCTACGAGGGTCTACGGAAGACGGACTTCGTCCTGCTGTTGAAGCTTCTTCGGGTCAGAGTCGATGTCGAGCAACGAGCGCAGTCATGCGCAATCGTTCACGTGTGGAAGGCAGAGATGGACGAAGAGAGAGGGCCACATGCCAGGAGGCAGCACTGCAAACCAACCAGTCTGGTCTTGCATTGTCTTTTCTATGTTGAGCGGTGAATTTGATAGGCCAACCTGTCTCCGATGGGTCTCCTGGATCAAGGAAGCTGGAGGCCGCGTCACTGGCTTCAGCTGGGTTAGACCCCCAGCTCAACGAGTGCTCCACGAGTGCATGTGCGGGTTTTGATAAGATGAGGCCGGACGACACCTTGCCGACATGCCCAAGGCCCCCTGTTCCACTGCAGCATCTGTTCGAAGCCCCTTCTCTGCAAGGATGAGGCTCGCTTGGATGCCCCTCCTGCATGCCAGCCCATGCTTGAAGATGGACTTGAGGAGTCGGCTGCTGAGACTTTCGAGACATGGGCCGCATAGCCCGCACCCGCAAGAAACCGGGCGAGTCCGGGCGAAGCATGGCGCAGGCTTCGTGCCAACGTGTGGCCACTGGAGCGGGTGAGCCTGAAAGACAAGCAGCAGGCCTCTCCCAGTTTTAGTTCCGTGTGGTCCCACGCCCCTCAAAAGAGCCTCCTGGAGGTGCACTTGCTGTGGCGCTTGCTATGGCGCACAGTCGGGGCCGCCTTGCGCCCAGTCTCTCAGCGGAAAAGATGCCAGGCTAAGATGCCTTCAATGCCCTAGATATTATATATGTCGCCAGGTCAAGTATTATCTCTACGAGCACGCTCGAGCCCCTGCAGTTGTTGTTTCGTCGGGGCATAGATCTCAACATGAGCCGCCGCCGTGGGCCGTCGGGACAGGTCTTTCCTGGTGTCATGGGCCTGAGTGACTCGCTGTTGTCGTGCACAGCTCAGGACACCGACACTCCATGTCCAATTATGCCCCAAGTTTAACATGGCATCCGGATTATGCCCGGCGGCATTCCAACCAGATACTGCAGGAGCTTGGGAGCAGTGTGCTCTTTGGCGGGCACCTCACGTCAAGATGTGTTCACTCGTTTTGCTATTTTGCCCCTTGGTATAGTGGTGTTTCTTTGCAGGTCGACGTCTGGGATTCAGTGGCACACCCTCCGAGGCCACGTCCATCAAATCACAGACTCTGCCACATGTTGCCACATTAATGACGCCGATGTGTATCGCGATTCTTGTCATCCCCGCAGGTCCTGCCTGCCAGCAGCAGGCTTAGCTTCGGAGAGGGCACAAGCGGTGGCGAAGTGGGCTTGTAGCTCATGGAGGCTCACAGTGCCAGGCTGTGCTGAGAGTGCAGGTATGGGCAGGATCCATTACGAGCAGGGCTGCGATGCGAAGATCCTGAGCACACTTCTGAACACCAACGCAGGGAACTCAGCCAAGGGCCTTCCAGATCGCGGTATTCCCGCTTGCGGCCCTTTCCTTTCGTGATGCAATTCTCGGGTCCACATTGTAAGTTTGTAGAAGGTCGTCACTCGGACAGAGACACTGCCTGCCGGCTGGGTCAGTGCCTCTGCTCCTCAAGAATACAAGAGCAATCAGCTCCACAACTGAACCTATTGCGACGGAAATGCAATAAAGTGGGTCACGAAGATCACCAAAGCTACCACGAAGGACCCACTATGGCTTCTACGCCGTGCTGCGACGGGAGAGTTCCATGCGTGCCGGCCCTACTTCAGGGGACATGAGTGGACTGAGAGCAACAACAGTACGGGAGACACTTTGCAGATCTTCACAATTAAAGATGCTGCCTTGGCGCCAGTGAGGCTTATTGATGCCGGTGCGCTGGTGGTTGGCCTGTCCAACTTCACAGCCTTGTTCTAAGCACCAACAGTCAGAGTTTCAATCACCGAGTAACCAGAGTTCTCGGAATGCCGAGCTTCTTGAGGCTGCCACAAGACTGTTGGAGTCCGTGGCCCAGGGACTCTGCCGTGGAATGTCGTACGGCGACTAGAAAGGCAGCGTGATGGCATGCGGCGGCAGATCGAAAATGATGAGACAGGATGGCAAGCCTAAGATTCGCCCAAGATTGCTTGAGTGCAGTGCGAATTCACATCACATTCGCAACTGGCACACAGCAACCGTACTGTGTGCGAGCAGTCGGTACGGATGACTCTGTGAGAAGGTCATTGCCGTCGTCGTCATTTTTTGGCGTGGTCTTCCTGACTGAAACAGACGAGTCTGTGGTTCTGGTTCGAGCTGCCATCTGAGATTCAAACCCCTAAATCCCGTGCACAATCATTGAAACAGATTGGAACCCAGATCTTGTTAGGAAGGGCGTGTCCTGCCCTTAGCCGATTGTGGCTTGGCACCAGAGCAGAGGTTCACGCCTGGGCCTCGATTGCAGTAGCAAAATAGGATGTTCTGACAATTAGACTCACGGCCGACTCAGGGCAAGGGTTGTTTGGCTATCTTTGTCGGGAGAGCGCATGTGCATCCGAGGTTCTATGATCACGTGCATACCACCGGGCTGGATGTGCCACAAGCTCCCTATGCACGTGCTGCACTGACCCTGGGCCCTTGCCTCGGTGACGGCAGGATGTTAAAGCACAGCCATGCTGAAAGCTGATCTGGCTTCAAGAACTGTAGAAGGGCAGTGCCACAAAGTGCAAGTCATCTAACGCACATCGCATGCTTGCAAAGGCAAAGACATGCTGTGGAGAGACTATGCCCAGGTGCACGATCGACAGATAGAAGCTTCACGCTCCGTTAAACAACATGACATACCAGTGTGACAGGCAGCATTTCGCATGCGAGGGCTTGGTCCTGGCGCCACGCGCTCAATAAGACCTGACAGCTCACTTTGCTCCAAGTTGTTACGTTGTTGTGAGTCCGCATGGCTTCGCAGCAAGGCGCAAAGCTTGCAACTGCGCCGTCCCGAGCACGGCTGAGCCGGACATTGTGTAAAAAGGTGTAATCGATGAACGGGAAGAAGTTGGGGAGTGTCTGCCTGTTAGAGACTACTTGGGTCGTTCATGGTCCGTGTGGACTGATCAAATGCGCCATCTCAGTCAAGGCTGGTACCTCCGGAAATCCGCCACCTCATCGTTGCGACCAGGTGGCAGACAGCTTTTGGGAGCCAGCTGAACCGCAACCCAGATCCGCGGAGCTCACGCTCAGAGTGCCATGATTCATCATGATCATTTTCGGGCTCAGGGCTCCCATGATGCGAGTGGCCCAGGTAGGTGAATCGGCAGAGGTGGAGCTACAACCGGCAAAATTGGCAAGCTGCGTGGCCCTCAGAAGTCTTCACATCGAGGGAGGGAAGAACGCGATTGTCTGAATGTCGGTGCCTTTCCGCGGCCCTCTCCAAATCGGGAGGGTAGTCCGGTGCCATGTTGCGGTTGCTCTGCACATGTCTTCCCCACCCTCGCCGTGGGGCTGCTTCACCCTTAGATTGTAAATTCAGCTCTTCTCCTCGCAGGGCTCTCCAGAGAATGCCGCAGAGCATATCCTGAGTGTTCAATCCCAAATGACCCCTGCTGGTGGAGAGCATATTAAGTTTGCTTTGTTTTAGGCTGGGGATGTTCGAAGCAATTGAAGTGCTCTGTTATATTAGATTGCTGAAGAATCTATACTATTGTGCTCGATAGGATCGTTGCTCTAACGACCCTTGCCAGGCCAAGTCTCCGTACCTAAGATGTCTGAATGCTCGAATAAGAGTTCATGCACCAAGAATGCCATGTCAATAAAAATGCACAAGAAGGTGCACCAAGCGTGGACGACGACCTGATATCCCTGAGCGTCGGTCTTAGCACGGCTGCCGGCACGAGAGAGTGGAAGCAGATCACATTCATGGCTGAGAGTGTGATATGCAGTAGATTTCAGTAGGGCTTGGGCTTGGGCGCGAACATGATGTCTCGTATCTGTATGAGTGCGTATGGGCAGTGCGTGCCGTTGAGGACATGTTGTGTGGACACTTCCACTCAGCGCTCCGAACCCATCAAGCCCTCCCTTTTCGGGTACCACTCATGACATGTAAGGGGCTTCTCTTCATGGGCACAAAAGGGCCGGAATTTAGAGAACTGACCTGCGCACCCATCCTAGGTCCGGTGGTCAATACCAACTTGAACATTTTCGGCCAGGACTGCCTGCGAAGGGAACAATGCAAGAAGGGACCGTTCCAGTAAAGGCAATCAATCTTGCTATGTGTTTGCAGCATGACGGCACAGAGGTGAGGGCAAAGGCATGTGATGCACAGACACTTCATTGCAGGATGGGCAAGGAAGCGTGTCGATGTCTGGCCCACGTGTGTTGTGTTGCCACTGCTTTTCCCACCTTTGCTCCATGTTTTCGATCTGCTATGGTAGCGAGGCCGGCACCACTCCAGTTTGGGTTGGACTCTTTGCAGGCGCGGTGCAGTACCTTCCGACGTGAACAGAACAAGCATGCAGGGAGTGGGTCACCAGGCATTTGACGCCTTCGCAGCCGCACCAGCCTACCCGCAGCACAGCATTCAGGCGTGCTGCAGTGATACGCCTGATACGTAACAGGCCCCGGGCGCCTTTTTGCGACATAGGGTTTGACAAACCTCACCTGCGACGAGCCATTTCCTTTGAAGGAGGTCTCCAATCAAACAAGGGGCCCGTGACATACGTAAGCAACAGAAGGGGGAAGCGCGAGATACTCCTATGTTACGCGAAGCCTTACTTAGGGCATAGAAGCTCATGCTTATTGAAGGAGGTCTCCAATCAAACAAGGGGCCCGTGACATACGTAAGCAACAGAAGGGGGAAGCGCGAGATACTCCTATGTTACGCGAAGCCTTACTTAGGGCATAGAAGCTCATGCTTATGGTGTGTTGGTTCCCCTGTGTTGATGGTCATCGTTGCTTGTCCATGGCAGGCTGCGCAGGCGAGCCCTGAAGAGCACAAGAAAGAGCTTGCTGCAGTTCTACGCTGGACGGGTGCCCCCGGGTAGAACAGCACACCCTGAAGCTGAATTCCCAAAGGCGGTCAGCACCAGTGATGCGCTGCAAGGTGGCAACACGCTTGACAGTGACATCAAGCAGTTTCTTGCTTAGCCAAGAGTTGAACTTTAAACTTTTTGGGCATCCTGATTTAGTAGGAAATATGAAACTTTAACCTTCTTTTTCCTTTGGCCATTGGAGAAGTAAGGTTTGCCTTGCTCTGCGAGCAGAACGTGGAAGCACTATGGAGGCAAAGCCTTGTATTGTCCTCTGCGGAGTTCATTTAATGGCGTGCGTTTAGGGATTTGGGATCTGCAGGCCGTATAATGCTTTTATCACAGCATGCGTCCTTGGCATGAGACATGTTTGTGAGGAGCCGTGCCTGGTCTGTGGTTCAGGGCAAAGACAAAGAGGCGCAACGCTCATACTTCCATGATCGTAGTTTGCCTCTTCTCTCGGCCAGGCATCAATGGGACTCTCAGCATGCTTGACAGTGCTGCGGATGCCGAGAGAAGATGTCAAGACCCAAGACTCTGGCCCAAGACGTTTTCTCACTCAACCATGATGAGGTCTCACGGCTATTCCTAATTATTACTAGTAAGGTCATACCGAACGATCCCGACCCGTTGGTGGAGGCCTCTTTCAGGGCGCTGCTATGAACAAGTAAGACAGCTATATGTTGTTGGTAAAACCTTCCGAGCTCGAGACGATTGGTGCCCTGCATGTCAAAAGGAGCGGACACTCAGTGAGCGGCTGGCAGAAAGGCTTCGCGCCAGGGACTTACTTGCAACAACATGCTTCCCTGTGGCTTCGACCGCCGCCTCTCGATATCAGCTAGCTCACTATTCGCTCACACAGCATCGACCACAAGGCCCATGCACACTGGATCACTCCCGAGGCTGCGGAGGGCCAGAAAAACCCAGTTTTTGCAGTTCTTGCTCCCTTTTTTGCCTTTGTTGCCTTTGGAGGTTCAGCAGGTCGGCAACGATCTCATTGCCGAGGCAGAGAGTGTCAACAAAGGGGCCATTCTGAGCCATTGCAATCCTCACACCAGGCATTGGGCCTCGATCAACGTGGTCTACTGGGAAAGGCGCAAGTCCCCCAAAAGTCCTCAAAGAGACATCGAAGTATTTGTGAAGGATCCGAGAAGGCCTCATGAGCTCTGATGTTCGCAGGGCAAGCTCGGACCGGGCTCGGTCTTCAAGGGCCTTGAGCAAGAGCAGGCACCCCTTTGAGGGAAGTTCACATCTCGGCTCTTTGGGCCACGTGGGGCCACGTCCTGTCCTGGAGGTACAGGAAGAAGAGCAGGAGGAGGAGCAGGAACAGGAGCAAGAAGAAGAGCAGGAGCAGGAGGAGGAAGTGGAGCAGGAAGACGAGGAGGCCAGCCACAGCTCGTAGCCGCCTCACCCTGATCTAAAGCCTTTACCAGGAAGAAGCTGCCGATCTGAAGTTTTCAAGGGAAGATGAAGGCCCCAAAACAGTGTCCACATCTGGCGATAAGTGATGATAAGCGCCTTTCCTGGTTCTCGCAGTTTGTTGGCACCTTGCGCCGGCAAGGTGAGCTGGCCTGGAACCCGATGCTCCTTTCAGAAGAGCCAAGACTCTCCGATAGCGGTTACACGTTCTACCGGTGCTGTCCTCGCCTCAGCTTCGAGTCGAGCGTTGCGATTCACATTGCCTGGGAAATTTGAATTTAAAGTGGTGACCTCAATGCGATTTGTCATGCCCGTTTGGCCGAGAGGTGATGGGCTCTCTGTTTTTAATGGCAAGCTCATGCAGGTGCAGAACTTCTTGGGTAGGATGACTTCAAAGGTGGTATCATCGCATGGGTGCCCATTTCGGGTGTTGCCTTGCGCTGGGAAGCGCAGGCACAGAAATGCCTACGCTTTCCACCGTGGTTTATGGCGTCGCAGCATGTCTGGCATGTTTAGTCTTGAAGGGACAGCTAGTCTCCGGAGCACATCTCGAATTGTCATTGTTCTCTGGTTGACACTCGAGACACTATAGCAGGAATTACTTTCGACAGCAGTGGCGACTGAAGACTGACGACGCCCAAGCAAGAAGTGAGTTGTTCAAAACATTCCCCGCTTGCACATCGTGGCACCATGTGGCCTCAGGTCCGGCGACTGAAATGCTGCCTGATGCTGGTGGAGTGGGCTGACTTCCCAGAGAAGAGTTGGGGCAACTCTCTGGGTACTCCTTCACAGTCCTCCACAGCCCGGCAAGCTTTCGTAAATCTGAGCCACCATGTTTTGCAGTTGCTCGACAGGCGTTTCTCAGTTTGTTACGTACATATGGTAAACTACATATAGACGCAGGGGGTAATTAAGGCTGATAACATAAGATAGGTAGGAGACCTAGGCTGGGAAGATCTAGGCCTCGGGCGAGATGCCAAGACTCATTCCATGCTAGGAAGCGGGAGTCTGGGCTCGAATCGAGATAGCACTTCGGCTTTGGGTACCTCTTCATGGCAGAATATTCTCCCATATCTTTCCTTCCTCGGCCCTCCTCTGAGCACAAGCGTTACGTTGCCGAATTATCGAAGCACAACGAAGCATAACATCCCAACGGAGTGCGCCTTAAGGTGCCTGGCGGGCGCACGCGTGAGCTTCTGCAGCAGGTCGAGGTGGGTAGCTACGGGTCGTTCTCGCCTCAACTCTTCCGGTCCAAGCAGTTCGACGGATTTGGGTGATATGAGCCACATCATGAACGTTGCAGTAAAGGTTTTTTATCCGGCTGTTCATGGCTGATCATAGATGCTCTGCTGCTCGACAATTCCTATGCGCTTTGTGTTTTGCCCGACACTGGGCCCATCCGGGCCCAAGTTTCGATCAGCTGCCCCTGCTTGTCAGGCCGTTGCCCCCGGCTCGGATGCTTTGCGCGCGGCTCTGAACGCCTTGGAGCTGGAGGGTGTGGAGGCCCCTTTGAGTGCTCACCTGTGGTATGATAAATGTTTTTTGGGACCAGCATACTGTTACGCTTAAAGCAGGCCAGAACCTTATAATCCCTTGGCAAGAGACTTCTTCGTCTCCAGGAGCTCACGGAGCCACAGTCCAAGTCCCTGATGGAATGCCGGAGCCCTCAGCCAGAGGTTGTTAGGGGGGTTTAGGGTTTCGGGTTCAGGGGTTAGGGTTTTGGGTTATAGGGTCTAGAGTCTAGGGTCTAGGGTTTAGGGTTTAGGGTTTGGCTTTTCAGTGCATTCCGTATAAGGCTTGCACCTACAAGCCGGCGGATATCAGAACCTGCCGTTGTCCAGGCGAGTACCGTTTGGGGGGTTCTTGGGGCACCTTGAGACCACCCTGAGACTAAGAGTGTGCAGGGGGGCATGCCAGTGGAGCTCCGTGGGCCTCTGGCCGAAGAGATGTTCAAGCAAACCTCCGCCGCTCAAAGTGCCAGGACGGTCGCTGAGCTCAGCCGGATGATGCAATCGGAAGCACCGACGCCTGCGCCTCAAGGACTGTCGCAGAAAGTGGCGTAGCACCAGCATGCAAGCCTACAAAGGTGTCCCGTGCAGCCCGGACGCTTCTTCTGCTTGGTCTCCCTCTTTGAAGCCGAGCAGCTTGTATTCACTACGGCCAGTCGTGGCATCTTCCAGCTTTGGCCATACTTGCCCAACACAGAGGCATCTCCGAGCAGCACCAAACTCAGCGCTTAGCAAAAGTGGTGGTTCAGGGAGTTTAGTAACATTTAGGGTCGGGGTTGCCTGTATTGCTTGAGTGTTTGGGGCTTGGTTTTGCCAGATGTTGCCAGTTTGCTTGTTTTGTGTGCTGTCTGACTGTGGGCCACAGATGACCCAGAGGTCCTTCACAGCAGGCCGCCCTTCTCCATGGGTGTCGCGCTGTGCGGACCTTTTTCATGCTGGCGTGTCAAGGGGTGAAAGCCTGGAATTCGACGGTTTGCATGCCCAGGCGCGCCCCTGTGGCCTTGGAGGGGCAGCCGCTGGATACCAGCAATGACTTCTCACTGGGCCCTCCCTTTCAGTCATTTGCTGCCTGCAGCCCAGCTCACTCAGTTTACTCAAGTTTCCTCATAGTCAGCTTACCAAGCTTCTGGCTTGCAAGATCCTCAGGCAAGCCAGCTTAGCCGCTTCGTAGATTCCGAGGCCAGAATGCAGTCTTGTGAGAAGCACGCTCGGCTGTTCCAACAGCCGCTTGAAGCTAAGAATGATCGAGCCCTTACCCCCTCTGCGCCAGCCATGGGTGCAGTGAGTCCAGGAATTGACCTGGACCAGGATTGTCCTCACGAATATTCACGAATGCTGCGCCCACACAGCCTCTCGCCATTACTGTACAAGGCTTCACACCTGGTCATGATCCATGATATTGGCAGCGACAGAAGAGGAGGAAGAAGAAGCAGGCCGATGGAGGAGAGGAGTCAGAGTTTACTACTAGAACAGTGCAGAGAGGAAGCAAAGCAACAAGATCGGAAAATGCCGTGGTATGGCCGCATTGAGATGAATTCGTCACAGAGAAGGCGACGAGGCTTCCGACAACACAAGGCCTTGAAATCTTGCTCCCGGAAGCGCATGCATTTAGGGCTGAATTCGCTTGGTGGCGAGACACTCTGTGTTTGCATAAGAAGGAAATGGCAAAGGTTTCACGGGGAAATGCAGGCAAAGAAGATGCAAAAGAGGAGAAGATGCAAGTTCGTAGAGTAGCCACTGCTGGCACAACTATAGGAGGCTTGACATCGCGAGACTGATCTGCTGCCAGGTCTCATTTAGTGCTCGAGAGCTTTGTGCAGTCGACTTATGCCTCACGGGGAGCAAGCACGAAGAGTAGAGGCCTTAAAGCCAGGCAGCACATGGTTCTTGTGATTGTGACTAGCGGTTGGGCGCAGCAGCCGCGCAAGTCAGCACAGGCGCTTGGAATGGTGGGAGCAAGTGCGGCACTGCAGACGTCGAGCACAAACACGGCCTGCAGGGCCCCGAGATGCCGAGAACGCTATCAGATGCAGCAGATATCCCGATAGTATGCGATATTCCATGCACTGTGACACTGTATTTAGAGCACCAACTTTAGCAGTCTGAGGGTCTCAGGGACAGCGACACTGCGCATCTGTGCGATAACATGTGCATCCTATAGAGCTGATACAGGAACAGTTAGGTTTTTTGCTTGCCGGCCAATGAAGCAGCGTTTATGCGGGGTGGCACCAAGTAGCGGATGGCACCAAAGATATGTCAGGCATCGCAGCTTGGGACAGTAAGTCAGCATATCTCAGTATGCCGGCAAACTGCTAGGACGGCAGGTCCAGCATGTTTCTCGACTTGCAACGGCCTTCTTTGTGATTGTGCCTCTTTGAGATGCGGAAATCCAGGATGCTCCTGGCACACCCTGCATATAAACGCGGCCAGCGCAAATTTGAATAAGACCTACTCAAATTGCTGCAAAATCTCAAGGTTCCATCGTTATCCGTCGCTGCTCTGCTTCTTCCTCCGAGCATTCGACACAAGGCAAGGTGGCGAAAAGTAATCGATACTATATTATATACATATTTGTAGACATGATGCGGCAAGTGTGTGTGGCACCTTGCATGTCCCAACGTACATCTCTGCAGGCACGGCTTGAGAGCTCCATCGCAAAGGCCGCCGATAAACTGCAAGTAAGAACCGTCACATGGTCAGTTTTTCGGGTGCCCTAGACACAATACATACATATATATATATATATGTGTATAAGGGGCCGTGACAGCGGGGATCCCAAAAGGGGACCCTGGCTAAGAGAACTTACCTTCTCTCTAGGCGATTAATGTCAAGAGCGCAGCGAGCAACGTGCAGGTAAGAACGGTCTTGCGCCGCCGCGGTGCAAGTGCAAGGCAGTTGTTTGCCCTTCAGGCGCACTCGGGTGAGAGACCAAAACTACCTTGCCTCGCACATGTTGTCTGCACCAGGCTGGAGGCAAGTGCCTGCATCTGAGCGCGCAAGATCTCACGCAAGCGCCCAGCCCCTCAGTCAAGACACCTTGCTGCTGTGGCGGTAAGCCTTTTTCTACACTGTTGAAGGCTTCAGCAGTTTGGTCTTCTGGATGCCATTGATGCTGGGCGACTCGCATTGACGGCGGCAAGGCGGCTTCGCTCCATAAACCGTCACACTCCTGTCGGTCGTTACTCGGTACTAGTAGGTCTGGGTGCACCCTGCCATTATCTTCCCATTGGCCCACTGGGCCATCATGTCCCAGCCATGTCCCAGCCTGCCCTGGCAGCCTTGGGAGGATGGATGCAGGTGAGGGTGTCACAATGGAGTTGGGCTCTCGTCTTGACTTCACTTTGCTCTCCAAAGGGATCTAGCTGGCACAAGTAAGGCGAGCGAGCGTGAGCCTCTCCAGCTTCTTGCAGCTCATGGGATCTTTACCTGGGGGTGATGCCTGGGCCTGACCTGTTAACAGGTGCATTGCAAGGGTTTTTGCAGATCTTTGCAGCCTTTTCACCTTGCTTAGGACATCGACGAAGTCGGTGGGAAAGAAGCTGCCTTGGACGTCAGGGGACCCGGAGGGTATCGCAGCGTTGGCGTTGACGGCTGCCAGTTCGCCCAAGTGCCCCACACCCGGCCCGAGCCCAACCTGGTGATGCCTGATGCTACTGAATCGACGGGGCGGCAAGGCAGATAAGACGAGCAATGCAAAACAACATGAAACACCCGATTAAACACACTCTTCAAAAAGCCCTTCTGGTAAGTGCAGTTCGGTAGATGTCCAGCCTACCGTATGGGTTCAATCGGGCTGCATTCCTTGGACCCCTTTCCCACCGAGCACACAAGAGGCGATTCATTAAATCTGCGGGGAATGCACCTCTTAATGGTACCACCACATACGAATCAAAAAAAGCTGACTCTCAGATGATGTACTTGTTTTCTGGTTTTGCGCAGCATTCGGCGACAGCCCACGCAGCCCCTCAAACCTGAAAACCAACCTTCCCTGTAGAGACCTCCCTGTACACTCCAATCCAGTGACCCGCAGAGAAGAGGGCAAGCAACTGAGTTCTATTGATGCAGGATGTACTGTTGATGCTGACCTTGCGAAAGAACCTGTTTTCGCGTTGTCAGCTAGTGCGGCACTTAACTTAGCACGTGAGAGAGGTGATAGCATTCTTTGCGCTGTAAGATACCGGCGTTGTCTTTCCCCCAGCACATCCACCATCCAACGATGACAACTTCCATGCTGCCAGAGCATCCAGTACCCGGGCTCATCGTGCAACGAATTCAACAAATGTTTGCACACTGTGTAGTAGCCGAAACGACTTGTACTCTTTCGTGGTGACGGAGCTTGCCGGTGTTGATGCGACTGGTTGGAACAAGCTTTCAAGGGAAACAGAACACACGCGTGTATGTAACGTTGTAGAATTTGGTCGAGCTGCTCGAGGCAAGTCCGTATGAGCAGGCCCTGAAATCTTGGTGTCTCCGGAGTACTTCTTGAACCTTGAGCCTTGGTATTATTCGATGCAGCCGAAGCTAAGTGCGTCGTCTCATCTATGTACACACTCTTTAAAGCCACATGCATGCAACTGAACATCCCCCAAGATGAACACTGGTCCAAGCATGCAAGTCGTGTGAGACAGTTTATTAACTAACGATGAGTGTGGGTCTAATTGAGACCCAGCCCGAGATTAAGTTGCGAAATCGAGAGAGGCGCATCTTTCTTTCACATGGGCCGGACTATTGCAACCACATGTTAATTAGGATGAAGGGCCGACGCGTGTACAGCCCTCCGAACTTTTCAAAACCAGCAGTTGGGAAAGGCTTGGTGTTTACTTCAGAGGTCATAAAAAATGAAAGTATGAAATGCAAGACCCGTGACATGTCAATGTGTCGACGAAGGCAGCTCCTTCGCCATCTGCTGCGCTGGCCGAGTGCCAGCTGAGTCTGGAGGACACGTTGATTTGGCTTGCAACGCTCCCGTGGCTTCTGCTCGCACTCTGGAGTTCCATGCTGTGCTGTGAAGGCCGGGCGATGGTCGGTCAAAGTGCTGACACATGACCGTCTGGTCGAAGTCTGGACATCTCGCAAAGTACCAGGGACCGAGGCGCGCGGCCGCAGATCATTGAGCCTTGCAGAGATCCCACGTGGGGGCAGCCGGCAGTTGAGCTCTGGAGAGGCAAGGCCCTTCAGCATCTGGCGGCCCGACTTGAAGGCCTCGAAAAATAAGATCAATGAAGCGCGACAGCCGAAGCGGTTCCCGGAACATGGTTCTGAATGTAGCTGTCATGAGCTGAATGATCCATTGTCTGTATGATGCCATCTACGGAAGAATAATTGCGAACTCTTTCGCCCGCTGCCTCGGCCCCTCAGGGCACGTGAGCTTGAGGGACGCGTAGGCTTCCCGGAGGACCCCCCCCCCAGTTTGCCTCAATCAACAGCAGTATTGGCAGCGGCAGCAGGTGGCGCACTATCTTCGGTTGTCAGCACTCGTGTGCTGGTTGCCGAGTGAGCTTGAGTAGGGTGGTACTGCATGCCGGGGGTCGCATACCCGCCCCCCCGCTCCCCTAAGCCAGCAAGTATGGCAGTTCCTGGGGGTGACGGGTTGGGTGTGGTGTGGTTGGGAGGGGGGGGGAGACCAGATCCTCGTCTTCTCGTTCCAGACGCCTGTCGGCCGAGTGCCGAGGCGAATTTTAAAAGGAATATGAAGCCGTGGCCAGTCTGGCGCTGCTGCCGGAGGGAACTCGATTCAGCAGGGCCTCAGGTTCCAGCTCTCAGCGTTGTCTCGACCCCTCGTTCCCTCACGGCATCTCACGACCCCTGCATGTGCAAAGTCTCAGGAACCTGGTTGGTGCAGGAAATGGGCGCCCATCACTCAGAACCGCTCGCCACCACTGGCGAATTCTGGCAGTGCTTGTGCAGGGCCCGAGACTGGAAAATGAGATCAAGCATTGCTTGTTATCTGGCATCCTTGGCAGTGACGGCTGCAAGCCTCTTCAAGTTTGGAAAGCAGCGGGTCAGCCGCTGGTCAGGCCTCTTCTTGCTGGGAGATGTTGGACGACGCGGGCTGGAAGCGCCTGCTGCATGTGCAAGCCTTTGACTTGCCACATCGCTTATAACATACTCGACTCAGTATGAAGAGTGCCCGTAAACCTGAGGTTTGGTCGTCAAGATCAAACCCTCGAAAAGCCCTCCCAAAGGAGGAGGACTTGGTTTAGGACGGGCAGCAGTGGGATCGCGGTGGCAGTGGCGTGTCATCGGAGGTTGCAAGGTAGCTGAGTATTGTATCAATTATGAGGCTATGAGGCATCAAAAGGCGCTGACTTGCCAACTACCGCCATTGTGTGCCAGAAACGCCGTCCACAGGACTAGAGGCTTGGATGTCGCGCTTTTTGCCGCCGCTTGCCGTTGCTGGATGGTGTCACACATGTCCGAAGATGCGTCGTTATGCAGGGTGTGGAGATGCTGTGCTCATGCTGTGTACTCTAATGTTGCACTGTCTTTAGTATGGGCCCCCCCCCCCGCCCAAAGCAAATTTGGACCCTCTATAAACGCGTGGCCCGGCGACCCCCCCAAACAAATTGGGGGGGGGGGGGGGGGGAACCGCCCTCAGGGCCTCAAGCCTTTAGGACCTCAAGGCCTGAAGCTTTCCAGCCTTTAAGATTCCTGGAGCCCAAGGCCCTCGGGGCCTCAAGCCTTACTGCGTAAGCCCTTAACCCAAAACACAAACCCTCAAAAAGAAATCATCCGAAAAAAAGCTTGGTATTGTAGAGGGTAGCCAGACAAACTTACTAAAAACACTCTGACCGGCCCGTGGGCTGCCTACCTATCACAAAATTTGTTTGGGGCCTCGTTTCGTAATGAATTTCCATTAGGCTTTACATGGGATTGGCCGGGCTTAGATTTCTGGATTCTCCGCGCTCTGGCTCTTTAAGGTTCCTGGAGCCCAAGCCCTCAGGGCTTCAAGCCTTACTGCGAAAGCTCTTAACCTAAAACACAAACCCTTAAAAAAAAACGTCCGGAAAAAACTTGTGATAATAGCGGGTACCCTGAACAAACTCGGTTCGCAGAATAAATTTTCGAAACTTGTGATTGACCCTCCTTATACTAAAGTCAGTCCAACATTAGTCTTGCCAAAGCATGCCGAGCGGCGAAGCTAGAAGCGAGAGCATCTGACTGAGGCGCCCCGTCGCATTTCGATTGATTTGGTATGACAGACGTGGAGCCACATCAGCAAAAGCCTCGGCAAATGAAGAGAGGAGGATGTCTGCAACAGATCACATTGTGGAGCTCGACAGGAAGCCTCCGCCCAAAGTCAGGGTGCATCCAACCCAGGCACCGGGGCATCAGCACAAGCTAAGCGGTTTGTTAAGTTCATGTGTCTCCGAAGATTTCATCATGGTATGAGGGTTGCCTCACCAATAGATGCTGCCAGCCTTAAGTCAGTCATATACAGCCATCGCAGGCGGTGAAGGCCTCTATGTGTGGCGACCGGTGCCCCCAAGCGACCTCTACATAGCTTTAGGTTTGGGTCTCAGACTTGCTTTTGACTTTTGACATGCTTCGACCACTTCGGACATTGCGAGATTGCGATCGGTCTTTTGCGGTGTGAAATGCAGCACACAAAATCATGGCCTCGATGTCTTGGGATGCTCCCAGGTGCGATATGCACCACGGACTCATCTGAACCTCGGGGCGTTGATGTTCGTTGCGCCTCATCCTCAAGACGCGGAGAGGACTCGTGAGTGACCAGCTGTGGGCTGTGTGCATGTTGCACACATGTGTCGTGAGCATGCACAGGTGCCGCGTGCCTGGCTGGTTCGAGGGGACTCCTTGGGACCAACTCTCTGGAGCTTGGGTGACCGGCCCGGGCCTGAGAGTTTCGAGATGTTTCCAGTGGCCACACCTCTCACGTGCTCACGAGTTGTGTGCACAATGCTCGAGGCAGGAAGTGCGAGTGCAAGAAGCGCTAGGCGAGGGTCTCGCCTTGCCGCGACTCTGAGATGGAACTGCGTCTGACCAGTCAGGTGGAGTCATCGCTTGCCCAACCGAGAACCTCCGATATCTCCCCAGCTGGGGCTTCATATCTGAGAAGTTCTTCGTTGGCTCGTGACGAAAAGGACGCCTCGCACGTGTGCACAGTTGGGCGCATCCGCAGCCTTCCCATCATGCACCAGAAAACCCTTCAACGTCTCCAACCTGGAGGTGAGGTGGCTTGTAATTACCTGGTTTCGCCTGGTAGCTTTTACAACTTTGCAGCGACTAGTCCTCATGTTAGCCCATCCTCACGCCCCTATCCCGTAGCCCACCCTGTCACTGTTCCCGTCTCCCACCTCATAGCAAGTCTGGTGTTTGCAAAGCAGATGTGATGCGGATGTGGTCGTAGAAGACGGTCGGTCGACAGCCGGTCAGAAAGATCTATATAGGTCGCAGTGCAAGCGTTATCTGGAAAACCCATGCACTGCTCTAGACCCATGCCTCCTTCACATAAGCAGCTCTGCCAAGTCTGGGAGCTGCACCTCACCCGGATGTGCTCTGATATGCCCTCAATGCTGGCAATGTTCGTGCTTCGCCGGGGCTCTTCTTGGCTCCTCACGGGTGAGTTAGGGAGCTGGGGATAGTGACTCGGAGCGTCGCAGAGTCCCCCGGGTAGCAGTTTGGAGGTGGCGCTGCCATCATGGCGTCGCCACAGCCTCAGGGCCTGCTGCTTCCGGAGCACCCGCTAGAATCATCTAGAATCATCTAGAATCACCTAGAGATCACTATAGAGCACAGAGGGCACATGTTTGGGTCTTGAGGATGTCGTAAGATGGTGAACGATGAATCCGACGGCCTTGTCCGGCTGAGGTCATGTACGGCCCTGGTGCTCATTGCGGGGCTAGCTGCACAGTGGGCTCACCTGGCGCAAGCGCACTCCATCCTGTTTTGCGCAGCAACGGCTCCGTCAGAGCCTGGCGGGCTGAAAGTAATTCTAGGAACCTACCATAGGCTGACCAGCCATGCGAGGGGGGAAATGGTGCTGGCACCTGAACAAGGCACCTCCGTCATGACTACCTTGACGCAAACATGCAGGGGACAAGTTCAAAAAGGAAGTAGCTGTCAGAACAACCCACCAGCATCGGACATACTGACAGACTGTGTTACAAAAGGCTTGGTTCCAAGCGATGCCATCATCACATGCTATGGAGCGGGTCCAGATGACAGCGTCGTCCCAGTCGACTCCTGCGATGCCGTCGAGCAGGGTTCTTATCGCAACATAGGCATGTATGCCGTGGGCGCTCTGTCTGGTTTTTCGAGTGGGACTGTGAAGGTGACAGTTCAGCATACAGATATGAACTTCAACCCCAACATAGGATCTTCAGGTGCCTTGGTTCGACGAATGGGACAAGCCCGCGGGGTTGTGCTTGGCATTTCCGTTGCGCAAGCGGGCAAGCCATGCCCTACTGCGCCTGTGGTCTCCAACTCTCAGGATCTCAGTTCGTGCAACAATGCCTTCGACGGCTTCCTGTGCGACGTTCCATGTGTAGCAGGATTTGTCCCGAGTGGTGGAGGTTTCATGTGCAACAACGGAACCTACCAAGCAACCGAGGTCGTTCCTGCGTGTGTGCAGACATGTGCGCAGGCATACCATCCATGCCAGCCTGGATACATCCAACAGTCTGCAAACGCTCCCGCCACAAGCCAGGATTTTTGCTGCTTGCCGACTTGCGCAGTTCACACATGCCCGGACGGGCACATTTCCATTCAGAAGAAGATGGCCTCCACGGCTGTGTCAGATGCCGAGTGCTGTGAAAAGACTTGTGCGGCTTTCGACTGTCCGGCAGGCTACGCGCTCAATCCTGACATGTTGTCCAGCGCGCCAGTGTCGCAGCAAGCTTGTTGCGTTGAAACTTGCTCTCGCTTCTCATGCCCCGCAAACTATGTTCCTGACGCAAGCAAGGAGAATTCCACAACATGGTCCCAGACTGAGTGTTGCTTGCCCACATGCGCCACCTTGTCGTGCCAGGCCAACTTCGTGCCCGATGTGGCTAAGTCGGGCTCAACTGATGTGCGACAGGAAAACTGCTGCTTGCCATCCTGCGCCTCATTTAAATGCCCGCTTGGGTACGGACCCAATCCGGCCAACAGCCAGGCAACAACATTGGATTATCAGACTTGTTGCGCTCCATCCTGCGCATCGTATACATGTCCTGCATTCTATGTTCCGAAACAGTCAGCCATGTCTTCTATAACCCTGGACACGTCAAATTGCTGCGAAGGCACGTGCCAGTCATACACGTGTTCCAGTGGCTTTGTCGTTAACAGCGAGCAGGCAGCCTCCACGCTTCTGACAGATGCTAGCTGCTGCCTTAAGACTTGTGCCGGCTTCACGTGCCTACCCGGCTACGTGAACGATCCTGCCTTTGCACAGAGCACCATCGTCTCGACTAAAGCATGCTGTAAGCTCGACAACTGTCAGGCTTTCACGTGTCCAGTTGGCTTCAGGGAAGTTTCCGGCACACCGCCCGTAGTGTCGCAGACGGGTTGTTGTGTGCAGGAGTGCTCATCCTTCCAGTGCCCTGATGGCTACAGCTCGAATGTTGCCAACAGCGCTTCCACCACGATTTCAGTCTCGAACTGCTGTGAGAAGACCTGCGCCACTTTCGGGTGCTCGGACGGCTATGTTGCAAACCCAGCTCAGAGTTCCTCCACCACGCTGTCGCGAGCAAGCTGCTGCGAAGCCACTTGCGCTACCTTCGCATGTCCTGTTGGCTACGTGCTAGACCCTGCAGGACTGGCTTCCACCTCGCTGTCTGTGTCCAGTTGCTGCCTTGCCACATGTGCCACTTTCTCCTGCCCTGCAAACTACATAGCTCAGCCGCTGCTGGCCTTGTCAACTACTGTGACCCAAGGCAACTGCTGTCAAGCCACCTGCGCCACCTTCACCTGTCCTGCAGATTATGTGGCCAACCCGGATCGGGTCATGGCTACTGAGCTCACTCAGGAAAGCTGCTGCCAAGCCACGTGTGCAACTTTCACGTGCCCTACGGGCTTCGTGGCGAACGTGTCCAACTCTGCATCCACGCTGGTGTACACAGAGGAATGCTGCACAGCTCAATGTTCTGCGCTCAGTGTGTGCCCCGCGGGCTACGTGGAAGACGGCGCCCACTTTGGAACGAGTAGCGACGAGTGCTGTTTGGCGACCTGTGCCGTCTTTCCATGTCCAGATGGGCAAGTGTCAGACTCCTCACAGGCAACCGCCACGAATGTGTCCGTGAGCACCTGCTGCCAAGACACTTGTGCTTTGTTTACGTGCCCAGCAGATTATGTGCCAAACCCAGCTGCTGTCAGCAGCACCAATCTCACGACTGAGATTTGTTGCGAGGCCACATGTGGTACGTTCACATGCCCCGCAAACTATCTTGCGGTGGAAGACTCCAATTCCATCACCGTCGTGTCTCTTGGCAGCTGCTGCTCGGCAACGTGTGCGACTCTCACATGCCCAGCGGGAACACACGCGATTGCCCATCGTCAGACCGACACGCTGGCGACTGAGTCCCACTGTTGCGAAGACACTTGTGCCAGCTTCCAATGCTACGGAGGCTTTGTCGTGGATCCTGCCCAAACATCCTCAACCACGGTGACGGTAGACAATTGCTGCCGCCCGACATGTGCGCTCTTTGCTTGCCCAAGGAGCTATGTCGCGGATCCTGCAAAAGCAGCCCTCACCGACCTTTCTGCGTCGGGCTGCTGCCAGCCGACGTGTGCTGCCTTTCCATGCCCTTCTGGCTATTTGCCTGACTTGCTTGCGTCTGCCTCAACCGCCGTCTCAACAGAAACCTGCTGCGACGCAACTTGCGCAACACTCAGCTGCCCTCTCACATATGTACCTGACCTCAGCATGATCACGTCAACCGTAGTGAACCAGGAGACGTGCTGCGACGCTACTTGTGCCAGCCTTGCCTGCAACTCCGGCTACGCACCAGTTCTCGACCAAGAGACCTCCACAAACGTCTCTCAGTCAAACTGCTGCGAGCCAACTTGTGCAGTCTTCCAGTGTCCTGCGGGATTCATCACCAACCCTGCCAACCAGTCCTCGACGAACTTGGAGGTGGCAAGCTGCTGCCTTCCGACGTGTGCGACCTTGCTGTGCCCAGCAGGCTGGGACTTCGATGTGGGCCAGGAAAACTCCACAGACGTCACGGTTGAGACTTGCTGCGAGAGCTGCCCAGCAGGTAGCTTCAAGACTGCCGAGGACCCTGTGTCTGGCCCGGGCTACTTGAGGGAACGTTGCACGTTGTGCTTGCCAGGGTTTTGGAATCCTTTGACCGGGCAGGCCGCATGCAGTGCTTGTCCAGAGAACTGGACAACGCCGGCTGAAGGCGCCACGAATTCTTCAGAGTGCACCTGCAAGGAGGGCTTCTACAAGGACGACGGGTTTTGCATAAGTTGCGTGGCGAATGCTGTGTGCCCAGGGGCTGATTTTCAGCCTCACTCGTCTTGGGGTCACTGGAGCCCTGACGCGCGAACCTTCTGGAGCTGTTTTCCTTCAGACTCTTGCCTGGAGGGCAGCACAACTTCCACCAATGCATGTGCCGACGGAAGGGCTCCAGATGGTGTTCGATGTGTGCCATGTGCAGCAGACCATTACATGGCAAATGCCGAGTGCCACCAGTGCAGCGGGTTTCAGAAGGTGCTCAGCATCGTGGGACGGATTGTTCTGGTCATAGCCCTGCTTGCCATCATGGTGATCCTCCGCTGGGAGGCTGCCACGGATGTCCTGAATAAGAGCTTCCGAGAGGTCTGCACGCATCACAAGAAGAAATTGGGACGCCTGGGGCAGGCCATGACAATGGAAGCCGAGTCTACGCTGTTCTTTTCAGCCATTGCAGTCCTGCAGTTCCTCTGGGTTTTTACCTTGTTCCCGAATTGGCAACCGAGCACTGGGATTGAGGAGGTTTGGAAAGCCATCGTGACCCTTGCTGCTTTCGATACCAGCGTGTTCACACACTGCTCTCTGAGCAGTTCTTTCATCAACAACTGGTTTCTGGACTGGAGCTTGCACTGGGCAATCGTTTTGGTGAATATCGTGTTGGTTCTGGTGCAGTTCCTCGTGGCAAAAGACACGAAGACCCACTTCCTAGGCATAATGATGGAAAGCACCTCCTTCCTGATCATGCTCCTGGTCACTGCTCGATTCCATTTTGACCTGATCTTCGTGAACTGCGTGGCATGCGAAGATGGGCGCCTGTGCCTGGCTGAGGATCCTCTCTTGTACTGCGGTTTCCAGGACCGGGGTTTCGGGATATTGTGGGATAGCTCGTCTCTTAGCTCGGCGCTTAGCTCGGCGCTTAGCTCTGCGCTTAGCTTGGCGCTTGGCTTGGCGCTTGGCCTCTCTTGACTTCTTCCTGTCTCTCGCTGTCTCTTGCTTCCTCTTGCTCCTTGTCCTGAGGGTTTTGGGTTAAGGGTTTAGAGTTTGGGGAGTTTGGGGTGGGATGCCTGGCTCCGATCCGCTCACCCTGCAGGACGGCTCGGTGGAGTGGAAGACCCTGGCCTACGTGTCCATCGTCGACCTCTCGGTCTGGAGCTTGCTGATAGCCTTGGTGTTCTACACCATGGTGAGGACCTGGAAGTGGCAGTGTGGTGAAGGTGAAGGCGTGACCTCAGGCGGGCGTGTCCACTGGTACGTCCTCTTCGCGGAACCCTGGACCAAGCACCTGAAAGGCCACTCGGGGGCCCTGCGCCTCGCTGTGCAGGACTTCCCAGCCTTTACGGAGCACCTCCAGACGCCAGCATCTCGGAAGGATGTGTGGCGTCGCTTCAACTCGCACGTGCTGGAGAAGAAGGAGCAGGACATGGCAGACCTGGCCCTGAAGATGGTGTCGCTCGCAAAGAAGAATAAGAGCGAAGGCGCTGAAGGCGCTGACTCCGACGCACCAAGAAGAGGGACAAGTGCAATCAGGGGGCCAGAGCACGAACACTTGGACCTTGACATTGCAGACATGGCGGAAAAGGTGCAAGAGCTCTACCCAAAGAGCAAGTGGTTCTTCCTGTTGGAGCTCTTCTGGTCCTGCTCCTGGTCATGGCTTCGGACTGTCTTCAGGATGGCCATGACCGCGGCAGTCATGACCCTTCCGAAGGACAAAGCCACCCCGGCCAGCTCAATAGGATGCACCTTTGTGCTGCTGCTACTGCTGATGTTTGCAGGCTTGATGAAGGCGAATCGTTGGGAAGTTGTGAACGACTGGGAGATCATTCTCTATGCGCTGTCGATGGGAGTCCTGGTCCTGCTACTGTCAGGGGACATCACAGCCGTCACATTCCTGGCCAGTGTTACCGTGTTGGTAGCTGTGGCCCCGGTCATTCTTTACCTTTTCGCGTTTGCCATCCGCCGCTGCATCGCCAACGTGGAGGCAACGATGGAGGCGACCATGGCGACGGGCAGCAGGCCCAAGTCACAGGGGCTCGAGGGCATCGTCCAAAAGAGCCTGACCAAGGAAGCCATGGAAGCCACGGAAACCACGGAGCCCATGGAACCCGACCAGAGCCAGAAAGAAGAGGAGAAGCCGGCAAACGAGGCGGTCGATGTCCCCTCCGACAAAGCTGAGGAGAAGCCTGCGGTCGAGGCGGTCGACATCCGTCCCGATGAGACGGAAAAGCCTGCCGTCGAAGTCAACCGCGTCGACGTCAACCGCGTCTCAATCTAGGGGGTGAGCCGACACCTGAGCCTGGTCAAGGCTTGTTTGAGATGCAAGTCGAGGTAGGCACGCAGACTCCAGACAGTTGACAGCTTCTGGATGCCAAACCTCTGGAAATGGTATCATCCTGGAACATGTGCAGAATCGCTGATCTCTTCCTGAGAGGCGCCTTACGGGCAGAGAGCAGCGGAGCCTGTTAGCTACTGTTAGTTGTGAGACCTGTCGAAGACAGACGAAGTTATGAAGGCCTAAGCGGAGGCGACTCAGCCAAGCTGAGTCCGCCGTCTCCGCCGCCTCCTGGTCAGCAACGAGCTGGTGAGGCAGCAACCGCGAACCTTCCGCGCCTCCTCGCGGCCGTGCGCTGTCCGGGGGCAATCTAGGAATCAGGCCGTGGGGCCTTAGGGCTCAGGTAAATGCTCCTGAACAGGATCGTGTTTTTCCCACGGGGCGTCGATCTGGAGGTCCTTCCTGGGAGTTGGAGAGACTGGGTTCAAAATAGTGTCTATAAATCTATAAAGAATCTACAAAGTCTAGAATGGAAAATCTTATATTATTTACTATATACATGTATAGTTTCAGTCATAGTCTACAGGTAGTTGTGTATACTTTATGCACCTTTGCGGCTTGTGCAGGTTGGTGAGGTGTTAATGTATGTGAGGCTGACATCTCCACTCTGCGACTGTTTGCTTTTGAGGAGTTGAGTGTGCCAGCAAGGCAAATTTGAGGCCCAGAGGCCAGGGGCGGGGCCCGGAAAGCCCAAAAGGCTTGCTACCGGCTTGGACAAATAAGTTTCCCCCACCCTATCGCCAGAGGCTCTTTTTGGGCCAGAACCAGTTCGGTTCAGTCGGGCTTGCCGGGCTTGCGGCTTACCCTCAGTAACACTGCGGCGGAATTGAAGACGAAAATCGGTTTGAAATTGGGCTCTCAAGACCAAGTTCGGCCTGAAGACGAAATTCGTCACCAGTCAGCCCCGAAGATGAGATCCAGATTTTCCAGACCCTGATTCTCTTCAATTTCAGCACGTAGACGAGGCCCCGAAGCGAATGTCGGGCCCCCGTACGAAAACTGGCTTCGAAAACGATGTTCGGCCCCGAAGACCAAATTCGGCACCGGAGGCGAAATTCGCTCCCAGACCAGGCGGAAGGCGAGGGTACTGCAACAGTAGCACAAAATCAAGAGAAGTCAAACAAGGGCCTCGCCCATCCGCTGCTCATGGAAACAGCATAGCTTCTTTGGTCAATTGTTATTTTGGATTTGCTTCAATACTCGGGCATCAGCGAAAGTCCGAGTCCAAACGCATAAGCAAGACAACCACACCATACGTCCAGACGCACCAATAAGCAAAACAGCCACACCAGTGCCACAACATAAGTCCAGAGTCAATAAGCAAAACAACCACACCGTAATAAGCAAAGCAACCACACCGTAAGTCCAGACGCACCACTAGGCAAAACACCCCACCCCCCCCCCCCCCGCTACGCACCACCGGTTTTGGGAAGCAAACAGCACCACGCAGATCCAGGCAGATTTTGCGCATGTCGGTTTCTCACGAAACAATGCAGGCAGATTTTGGCCGTGTCGTTTTTCAAAAAAAGAATGAAAAAATATGTCTGCATCTACGCGCCACGGCTTTTGGGAAGAAAGCAGCACCGCGTAGATCCAGGCAGACTTTGTCCATGAAGTTTTTTGAGCCACGTTTTTGGTAAGAAAACATCATTCCCCTTTCCCCTCTCCTCACCACCCTCACCGACTCGCCACGCCTCCCCCTCCCCCCCCACATCACCCCTTCCCCCACCAACCCCCTCATTCACACCCTCCCAACCTTCTACACCCCCCCACGTGTAGTAGTAATTAGGTGTAGTCGTAGTTGTACTACTGTAGTCGGAGTAGTCGTAGTCGTCGTCGTAGTAGTAGAAGTAGATGTGGTCGTGGTGGTGGCAGTGGCGGTGGTGGTAGTGATAGTGGTAGTGGCAGTGGTAGTGGTGGTAGTAGTAGTAGTAGTAGTAGTAGTAGTAGTAGTAGTAGTAGTAGTAGTAGTAGTAGTAGTGGTAGTAGTGGTAGTAGTGGTAGTAGTAGTAATAGTAGTAGTAGTAGTAGTAGTAGTAGTAGTAGTAGTAGTAGTAGTAGTAGTAGTAGTAGTTATAGTAGTTCTAGTAGTTCTAGTAGTTATAGTAGTTATAGTAGTTATAGTAGTTATAGTAGTTCTACTAGTTCTAGTAGTTCTAGTAGTTCTAGTAGTTCTAGTAGTTATAGTAGTTCTAGTAGTTATAGTAGTTATAGTAGTTATAGTAGTTATAGTAGTTATAGTAGTTTATAGTAGTTATCGTAGTTATAGTTTTTGTAGTTATAGTAGTTATAGTAGCTATAGTAGTTATAGTAGTTATGGTAGTAGTAGTAGTAGTAGTAGTAGTAGTAGTAGTAGTAGTAGCCAGTAGTAGTAGCCAGTAGTAGTAGCCAGTAGTAGTAGCCAGTAGTAGTAGCCAGTAGTAGTAGCCAGTAGTAGTAGCCAGTAGTAGTAGCCAGTAGTAGTAGTAGTAGTAGTAGTAGTAGTAGTAGTAGTGGGTGGTAGTAGTGGTAGTAGTGGTAGTGGTAGTGGTAGTGGTAGTGGTGGTAGTAGTAGTAGTAGTAGTGGTGTAGTGGTGTAGTGGTGTAGTGGTGTAGTGATGTAGCGGTGTAGCGGTGTAGCGGTGTAGCGGTGTAGCGGTGTAGTGGTGTAGTGGTGTAGTGGTGTAGTGGTGTAGTGGTGGCGGCAGCAGTAGTGTAGTAGCAGTAGTAGTATGTGTGCCTCAGACGCTTGCGATTCATCTACGCTACATGTGCATCTCTACACATGTAGATGAGTGTAGTATATATTATGGTGTTTACTAAAGGTTAATAGTATAGTAAGTCGTATAGAACCTAGTATTGTATATAACATATAATACAATGTATAGTATATAGTATAGCAGATAGTATATACTATGTCCTTGATGTCATGAAGGGTCCGGCTTGTGATTCAATGAGCTTAGATCAACGCCCATATTCAGCATGCATCGTCGGATTGCTCGAGTTCGAAGGGAAAAGCCGGACTGCACAGAGCAATTCTCCACCTGACGGTCTCTTTGGGGTCCCTATCATAATCAGAAAGCTGAAGTTCGTAAGTTGCATGTTCTGCCAAGTCTGGGAGCATCGCCTCACCCTGCTTCGCCGGGGCTCTTCTTTCTTGGCTCCTCACGGGTGAGTTAGGGAGCTGGGGATAGTGACTCGGAGCCTCGCAGAGTCCCCCGGGTAGCAGTTTGGAGGTGGCGCTGCCATCATGGCGTCGCCACAGCCTCAGGGCCTGCTGCTTCCGGAGCACCCCCTAGAATCATCTAGAATCACTAGAGATCACTATAGAGCACAGAGTTTGGGTCTTGAGGATGTTGTAAGACGGTGAACGATGAATCCGACGGCCTTGTCCAGCTGAGGTCATGTACGGCCCTGGTGCTCATTGCGGGGCTAGTTGCACAGTGGGCTCACCTGGCGCAAGCGCACTCCATCCTGTTTTGCGCAGCAACGGCTCCGTCAGAGCCTGGCGGGCTGAAAGTAATTCTAGGAACCTACCATAGGCTGACCAGCCATGCGAGGGGGGAAATGGTGCTGGCACCTGAACAAGGCACCTCCGTCATGACTACCTTGACGCAAACGTGCAGGGGACAAGTTCAAAAAGGAAGTAGCTGTCAGAACAACCCACCAGCATCGGACATACTGACAGACTGTGTTACAAAAGGCTTGGTTCCAAGCGATGCCATCATCACATGCTATGGAGCGGGTCCAGATGACAGCGTCGTCCCAGTCGACTCCTGCGATGCCGTCGAGCAGGGTTCTTATCGCAACATAGGCATGTATGCCGTGGGCGCTCTGTCTGGTTTTTCGAGCGGGACTGTGAAGGTGACAGTTCAGCATACAGATATGAACTTCAACCCCAACATAGGATCTTCAGGTGCCTTGGTTCGACGAATGGGACAAGCCCGCGGGGTTGTGCTTGGCATTTCCGTTGCGCAAGCGGGCAAGCCATGCCCTACTGCGCCTGTGGTCTCCAACTCTCAGGATCTCAGTTCGTGCAACAATGCCTTCGACGGCTTCCTGTGCGACGTTCCATGTGTAGCAGGATTTGTCCCGAGTGGTGGAGGTTTCATGTGCAACAACGGAACCTACCAAGCAACCGAGGTCGTTCCTGCGTGTGTGCAGACATGCGCGCAGGCATACCATCCATGCCAGCCTGGATACATCCAACAGTCTGCAAACGCTCCCGCCACAAGTCAGGATTTTTGCTGCTTGCCGACTTGCGCAGTTCACACATGCCCGGACGGGCACATTTCCATTCAGAAGAAGATGGCCTCCACGGCTGTGTCAGATGCCGAGTGCTGTGAAAAGACTTGTGCGGCTTTCGACTGTCCGGCAGGCTACGCGCTCAATCCTGACATGTTGTCCAGCGCGCCAGTGTCGCAGCAAGCTTGTTGCGTTGAAACTTGCTCTCGCTTCTCATGCCCCGCAAACTATGTTCCTGACGCAAGCAAGGAGAATTCCACAACATGGTCCCAGACTGAGTGTTGCTTGCCCACATGCGCCACCTTGTCGTGCCAGGCCAACTTCGTGCCCGATGTGGCTAAGTCGAGCTCAACTGATGTGCGACAGGAAAACTGCTGCTTGCCATCCTGCGCATCATTTAAATGCCCGCTTGGGTACGGACCCAATCCGGCCAACAGCCAGGCAACAACATTGGATTATCAGACTTGTTGCGCTCCATCCTGCGCATCGTATACATGTCCTGCATTCTATGTTCCGAAACAGTCAGCCATGTCTTCTATAACCCTGGACACGTCAAATTGCTGCGAAGGCACGTGCCAGTCATACACGTGTTCCAGTGGCTTTGTCGTTAACAGCGAGCAGGCAGCCTCCACGCTTCTGACAGATGCTAGCTGCTGCCTTAAGACTTGTGCCGGCTTCACGTGCCTACCCGGCTACGTGAACGATCCTGCCTTTGCACA